CAGATCTAGTTACTACATGCAGATATTACTGATGAATCGTTACACTCAACTAACTAACAGGGGCCAATAACACTTGGCATGACAGTTTCCTTCTACATACTTCAATATGTTTAACATTGATGTAACAATATTTAATATGTGATCTTACATATTACATGTACATGTAGGTATAGTTAGCGTCTTGAATCAAAGAGTACAGAGCCAAGTACAAACACAGAGAGTAGATACATATGTTCTGTATACAATATCATACAGATATTCAACAAATAGCTGTTGACCAACATTAATATCGGTAAGTACTTGTAGTTGTAACAATAAAATAACAAATAAATTCTTAAATAACATCTCTTTTCTAAAATTCACAAATTAACCAAATGTTCTTGAACATAAAACACAAACTACATAAACTATATTTTAAATCAAAATCATAAAATTACAAATTTGTCAATTGAATGAACAAAGATAAAAATATACACAAGAAATATCATCACACTACAGAAATAATACATAAATCTTGATAAGGACAGATAAAAACAAATATGTATGATTTATGTATAAAAAGAAATATTATGTAATGATTGCGATGACAAAGAGATCTAAAAATGTGAATCAGGAGTTATGTGAATCAGGAGTTATGTGAATCAGGTGTAATGTGAAGCAGATGCAATGTGAAGCAGGGTGGGAACTGTCCATGTATACAACAGTAGACCAGTCAAAGAGTGAAGGAATCTGGTCTGTTTAACACCACTGGTTTCTATGCCTGGTCCTATTATTGCATGACAGTACTATTTATACATAACAAATGCACTTTCATAACCAGTCTTGCACTAACCTCATACAAAACAATCATAGTGTAATTTCATGATAATCTCTAATGCAGCTAGCTCACACAGAAGTACCAAAACCAACTGATAGATATATTGTTATTAATTATATACAATATTTCTAGAAATATATGTACATTGGTATTAGTATTCGGTAAACATTTTCATAAAACGACTAAAATGTAACACCATGACCTTATATGTATAAGAAATGAAAAAATAAAGAAAATACATTCATAAACACAAAACAGTATTTTATTTTTAAAATTCAGCAAACTCTTTCAGCAGCCATTTATGATCCCCAACATAATGGGGCAATACCTAGAACAACCTTCAGCACTGAACTTCTTCATCAAGAGACAAATAAATAAACTTCTTAAAAATAAATAAATCCTTCTTTAAATATCCTTTGTCAAAAAACAGTGAACCTTGCTAATTCAGACTGATGTATACACAGAATCTGGATTAACCCTTTCCCTGATTAACAAATGATGGAGTAGTGAGTGAGTTTTAACCCCGTTTGTTTTCCAGTAATATCGCGGCATGTCAGCTTTTTGTGGGAGGAAAGCCCGAACTGCTGCAGCAAGCACAGGTATGGTGCTGACAAACCTACAAACATGATCGGAGTGAGCCAGGATTCAAACCCACAATCCTAGAATCCTGGAGTGCCCAAAGGATGCAACTCTGTGCAGCAAATTGCAGCACCTTAGACAACTGGGTCAATAGACATCCCATCTACCTTCAATGGTCCCTAGGGCTGTGGCATAACAAGGTTACCTGTTTGCATACATATGTAAAATAAGTTTACAAAACAGTAAACAGCTTTGATCAACAAATGACACAACACAACCATCAACATTTAACACTAAACTTTCCATACAGGAAAAATATGTTTTAAGTTCACAATGGTTATATTTCTTTTAAAATATGTTGTCATAACATATCAAAAGATAAACAAAATCAGTGTCAGCAGGATTTGCCCATCTACAAATATCTATGTGCATAAGGTATGAGTAATATAGCCAGCGCTGTTATTATGTATATACAATGGAAGATCTGTACATGATAGATACAACAATAGAGAGGATCAACAGGCTGGCTTGCTGTCTATGTACAACTCAGTCAGATCTCCATAGAATCCTAGATTTACATCCCTCCCATACTAAACACCACCTCACATCAATATATTGTCCCAAGTTCCATCTTCCTGAGGTAAGGGAATTAACTGACTATAAAAGTGCAGTTTCACCCTTGCCGAACTTGGCTGGAATTATGAGTTATATTGTTGCTGGAATAACAAGTCTATGCATAGTCCAATCAAAATCACATAATGAAATCAATCTCTGGTTCGTAAACTGCCATATAGTTTTCAGTCGATTGCAGGATTTGCAAAGCATGTGCACCATCAACTTAGCGTCAACAGATATTTTCCAAATCATTTTGTTTTTAATCAGGGTGCTCATGTGAATTGCTGCACTTCGCAAAGTAAGACCCGTTTTATTACAATATAGATCTTGATTATCGATCATATCATCCTGACTGGGTGCTGCCATTTTGTTTGAAGCAAATGCAAATGATATGAGAGGTGGAATATGATTGGTCAAAAGGAGGGACATGGAAGGGACATAACTCGTAATAACCACTGGTGGCACTACGATAGAACACAGACATTCCTGCCTAGTTCGACATGAAACCTGGACATTTATAGTCAGTTTACTCCCTTGCCTCAGGAAGATGGCAAGTTCCTATACCTAAAACGTGTGTCCCCTCCTTTCCTTCAGGATGGAATACACTGTATACACAGTCCTACCAAACTAATGGTCAACTTCCTGTACACATAAGCCTTGAAGAGTTGGTTTTAAAGAAATAAAATATAAAAAATAAAATGTCTCCCACCTCGCATTTTTTTCAAGATTTGGATGAAATTAACACTTAAGACAGTTTAACTTCTGGAATAGTTGTAAGGGACATTAGTGAGCTATTTCCTTAATGATGGTGTCAGGGGTTTCCATCAGCCATGCATTGATTAGGGGATATGGGTGTGCCCCTCCTGGAATAGATCTGTACATAACTTATTGTCATGTTTTGCTACACAAGGTAAAGTACTAGATGTTGGTTGAATTGCTTCCTTGGCTGAAGTAAAAAGATGACAAGTTATTGCATAGATTGGAATCCGAGGCTTCCCGTTTGTCAGTGTTTTAATAAACACAGATTCATGAAATCTTCATAAAATAATCAAATAACCCGGTCCATGAACCTTACCATATTCACCATAATAAGCACCCTGCTCGAACAAGTGCACCTGTCCCACTTCAAGACCAATCTGTAATTAGTCTAAATATGCATCCTTGTTAAGAACCAAAATTGACATGACGGTCGACTAGGACCGGAAATTGACCGAAAATTGACATGACAGTCTACTAAGACCGGAAATTGACATGACAGTCTATTGAGACCGAAACTTGACATGACAGTCTACTAAGGCCGGAAATTGACATGACAGTCGACTAAGACCGGAAATTGACCGAAACTTGACATGACAGTCTACTAAGACTGGAAATTGACATGAGAGTCTATTAAGACTGGAAATTGACATGACAGTCTATTGAGACCGAAACTTGACATGACAGTCTACTAAGGCCGGGATTGACATGACAGTCGACTAAGACCGGAAATTGACATGACAGTCGACTGAGACCGGAAATTGACCGAAACTTGACATGACAGTCTACTAAGACTGGAAATTGACATGACAGTCTACTAAGACCGGAAATTGACATGACGGTCTATTAAGACTGGAAATTGACATGACAGTTTATTGAGACCGAAACTTGACATGACAGTCTACTAAGGCCGGAAATTGACATGACAGTCGACTAAGACCGGAAATTGACCGAAACTTGACATGACAGTCTATTAAGACCGGAAATTGACATGACAGTCTACTAAGACCGGAAATTGACATGACATCTACATATTGTCTTGTATATATTACAGACTTTTTACAGACAACAGCAGCACAGAAGGGACATCTATATATTACCTTGTGCTGTCTTAGCTCTATCTTCATATGCACTCACCTGACACGGGGAGGGTTGTCATGTCTGCAGACAGACAAACAATTCATGTATCCATACAAAGGACCTGATGTACCAGTACTGTGATGTACCAGTACTGTGATGTACCAGTACTGTGATGTACCAGTACTGTGATGTACCTGTACCATGATGTACCAGTACTGTGATGTACCAGTACTGTGATATACCTGTACCATGATGTACCAGTACTGTGATGTACCAGTACCGTGATGTACCTGTACCATGATGTACCAGTACTGTGATGTATGGGCAGTACTGTGATGTACCAATACATTATCATACTTCTAACATCCTTACAAGTGTAAACATGTCAAGGACATTTCAGCACTTTGCAGCACTGTTACTCCTACACCTGTAACACTACACAGCACTAATAGTGTGTTTCTAGCAGTCATAAAATATTACAAAATCAGCTCCAGTACACATTTGTTAATAGACCAGAGCCCAAGTCCACGGAGTGACTTAAAGGGGAAGTGTACACGCAAAAATCACTTTCTTTCTTTTTCTAAACAAAACGCAATTTTAGAATTAGTTGGTATCTGTGTTTGAAAATATACACTCATTTTTTTCACAGTGAAAGTAGGAAGCTCACAATTGTGTGAAAATGATATGCCATTATGAGGCCTTCGTTTTTCGAGCTAAACAGGCCTGAGTTATCCCCCTTAGATTATGACGTAATTGGTGCCAATTCAACTGGGTCCCTGTCTATTCTGAACGCAAAAGATATCAAGTACCAGTTTTCGGTAAAACAACATGGCCTACGACACACTCCGGCGCAGTGGTGACTCAGCATTACACTATGCTGGCTGGCATCTGAGACGCTAGAATTACACACCTAGACCTACACCACGTGAAGCGGCTCTAACAAAGCATGATGACGTCATAATGTTTATCAATTGGCACCAATGACGTCATATTGCAAGGGGCATAAGCCATGGTGTTTTTGTTATGGAAATAGAACACTTGGTAAATGTGAAAAATATAAATCGTTTTAATGCAAAACATATGTTAATTAATTGTGATATTTTTATATTTTTGTCTATGACACTTCTAGGTTAACACTTTTATTGTGGAAAAAGTACAAGAAAATTAGGTTCATTTCCGTGTGAACTTGCCCTTTAAGCTCTGACAATCATATCTCCCTACTTTAACATAGAGTTATGACAGTCATAGCGCTAAGATCGTTTGTGGAACGGGACCCTGAACTCCAACAAATACATGTTAACAAATTAATAAACATTTTAATTGCATGTATAAGTGAAGTTATTTACAAGTATATTCAAATCACTTTCTACATGTGCAGCATCATAACTCAAGTGGTATTAACTAGCTGGTGGGTATAGCCTACACCCAGGGTAGAGGCGCTGATAACCACATTCATCCTTATCGTAACGTCCCACTCCTGTGATTGGTTACACTGCCAGCTTGTATGCCATCAGGAGTTGCTTCCCTTTGTTGGTTGTCTGCCATGGAATACAGTTCCTTGCTGAAAGAGATGTCCATACAAATAACCCCTTGCCATAAACTTGACACATATAAGTATTAATATTATGTTGTATGTGTTTGGATTATTTTATGGAGATTGCTTAAAGACCTGTCAACATTTTACTTAAACTGGCCATATTAGGGTGCAATGAGCTTTCAAAATTTGCAAATTTCAGAAAGCAATAATTTGACAGACAGAAAGAACACAACATGTTTTGTTTGTTGTTTAACACTGCACTCAATTTTCAGCTATATGGCAGCGGTCTGTAAATAATCAAGTCTGGACCTGACAATCCATGAGCATTGATCTCTGCAACTGGGATACGGTGACATGCATCAACCAAGACAGCGAGCCTGACCATCCGATCCCGTCAGTCGCCGCGTACAACAAGCACAGTCGCCTCTTATGACAAGCATGGGTTGCTGGAGACCTATTGTAACCCGGATCTTCCCAGTTCAACACAACATGTACATTCAAGGACACCTACAGCCACCTACCAACACATGTACATTCAAGGATTCTGGGCATTGGTGATGGAGATGTGTGCCAGGATGACTGTCTGGGAGAACTGGTCGCCATGTTTGTCAAACAAGGGAAAGTGACGGTAACCTACAACAAACAAGTACATGCAACATTAAACATTATTCTTTACGACTATTCACATTCACATCAGATGGACATTCTAGGGATATCTCACAGTTACTATACCAGCCACATATTTTGCAAAAAATATTACAAAATAAAAAAAAACAACGTTCTACTAGTCTTGACAATACCTGTGATTCAAGTCCGGGCTTCCGTTGTTTTTCAACAAATCAGACTGTGTTGCAGAGTCACATTTGTTTCACTTTATGTTCATATATTGTCCTTACTGTAAACCCAGGACCAGACCATGTCAAAGTCATTGCAAAAATTCTGTATGACATGTTTAATACAAGAGGTGAAGTGGGGTTTAATGTCGCGTCTAAGATTATTGCACAACATATAGCGTGTGTGCACTTGTACTTGTAATGCCGATTTTAGAGTGCTAGCCCACTATTATAAGGATACCAATGCCGCAGTTTAACATGAGCTGAGCTGAGCCGAGTCAACCAGTCCTTGTTTAGCCCGTAATGCTGAGCACCAGGCAGGGTAACAACAAGTACCATCTTTTAACATCTTTTGGTATGACGGGGCTGGGGATTGAACCCAAAACCTCCCGCTCTCCGGGTGGACGCACTACCACTTTTACCACAGAGGCAATCGTTTAATACAAGAGCAGACTTCACAGTCACTTAGTCTAAGAATGTTTACACAGTACTAAATTGGTTACAGTATTACTACATTTGTCTGAACAAAGCCTTTGAGCTGAAAGATTTGTGTACAGGAAAGATAGTCCGTATCACTCTGCACAGGGGAGACAACTCATACCTTCCTGCAGACTTGTGAAGGGGAGCGAGTAGTAGCCAATGAAATCGTCTTTGCCCCGATCCTCATCCTTCACAACAAACCGGAGCATGGCCAGCTCCGGCACTCGGATGTTGAAGGTGAAGGCCTCGTGCCAGCGAGGATTGAAACCTGGGGGAACAGAAGAAACTTGAGAGAAGATGCTAAACTGAAATTTTGGAATTGTTGTCGTTGTTGTTGTTATTGTTGTTAAACACCACACTCAGCAATATTTCAGCTATACGTCAGATGTTTGTAAATAACTGAGTTTGGACCAGATAATCCAGTGACTGATATTGTGAGCAACAATCCACGCAATGGGGTTACAATGACCATCACCAAATCCCCGAGCCTGACCACCCAATCCATTTGGTCATCTCTCATGACAAGTACAGGTTGCTGGGGATCAACTCCATCTCGGAATCCCAACAGCTTTTCGCTGTGTGAACAAGTAACGTTCCTTACCATTGTTATTAATCGTCTTGGTCCGGTATTCCTTCAAATCAGAGTGAACTCCATGTAGTTCAATCTTCACAAACGGATCAATTATCTCCCCTTTCTCAGAATCTTTGGGCTTTGGAATCTGATAGCCACTGATGATCTACAAACAGGACAAGAAAAATGATAATAATATATTACATGAAATCTTTCATGTTTGTTTGTTTGTTTGTTGTTTTACGCCTCACTCAGCAATATTCCAGCTATATGACGGCGGTCTGAAAATTACCAAGTCTGGACCAGACAATACAGTGGTTGACATCATGAGCATCGTGCACCAGGTAAGGCATGAGCAACATCAGGGGAGACAAGCGTGAGGTACTGGGCACCTACTCTGACCCAGATCCACACAGGGTAATTATCATCATCATGTTACTGAAGCCATCTCGAAGAATATGTTTCAGTTTCATGAATCTGTTCCACAAGCCATGGTTGAAAGTCACCCCTACAAAAGTTTCTATGTTCTGACTTCCTCCCGTTAATAAACAAACCATTTGCATAGACTAATACTACTCATTCATGTTTAGTGATCTGTTTTGTAAATAAAAGTGACACAATCAATTCTATAATCAGAAATAATCTCTCAAAAAGCAGTGTCCATTGTATGATGCTGACATACCATAGGCATGTGTTTATGAATCACTATCATATAGTGATGGTACACAGTGTTCTCGACAAGGTAAGAGTATCCTGCACCACTGACGGCATCCATCACAAACACATGCAAAGACAAGTCAATTGTTCACCTGAAAAGACATGTTCTCACCAGTATTTTGAGGACTTTGGACATATTGCTCCTTGTGACAGTGCCATTGACAATACCAAACATCTCCTCTGTAAATACACCATAAAACAACATTCAGCATGGACAACTATTCAATGTGGTCTTAAACAAGACAAACATCCATGTCAAGAATTTCTAAAGGGGGATGCAAAGTACAACTTGGCTATGAAGACATTATCTTGAATAAGGACATTTAGGCCCACAAGAACAACCAATTTAAATATTTAAATTTAAAGATCCCTTTTGCGATTTGATTTACAAAGGTCACCTGCAATAATCAAAATAAAAAGATTTCAAGCTTAACATCAAGACTCAAGATGAGAATAAATAGGTGTGAAAAAGATTGGTTTTCAAGGTTAGAATTGATTACAGACGTAAGTAAAATTGTCTACCTGGGTCAGTGACTTTCTCAGAGTTCGTTCTGTTTGTCATGGTGGTGTTGTTTGTCAAAACATTACAATACTAGTTGTCGTTCATGTCAATAAATATCATAACAAATCCAAACCGCCTTAAACCAATTTATAAATTTGGTAGTTTCAGGTCAAAGGGTTTCACAAGGACGTGTTTAAAACCCCTAGACCAACCTTGGAGAAGGTACATGGATAGCAGATGGATCTTAGTTCAGGGTTGTCGGTTAAATTGTTTGTCAAATTGTTTGTCAGAAAATCTCTAAAGAGGATGTTTTACCTGAGAGTAAGAAATTAGGTTTCAGGATATATCCACTGTTGCCATTATCCATAAACCTCCCATGATTCAACTGCATAGGTTCACTTCCTGTCTGATAGTTCAAGGCCACTGAAATTCAGAATAAATCATTTCCTTATTTTCATGAAACAAATATAAAACAAAACATGAAACATTAATAAAACAGTCATGCTTACCATCTTGGCAGCCATGGTTCCACATGGGCACAGGAGAGGAATAACAAGACAGAAACAGTAGTGCTTACCAACTTGGCAGCCATGGTTCCACATGGGCACAGGGGTGGAATAACAAGACAGAAACAGTAGTGCTTACCAAATTTGCAGCCATGGTTCCACATGGGCACAGGAGAGGAATAACATGACAGAAACAGTAGTGCTTTCCAACTTGGCAGCCATGGTTCCACATGACCACAGGGGTGGAATAACAAGACAGAAACAGTAGTGCTTACCAACTTGGCAGCCATGGTTCCACATGGGCACAGGAGAGGAATAACAAAACAGAAACAGTAGTGCTTACCAACTTGGCAGCCATGGTTCAACATGGGCACAGGAGAGGAATAACAAGACAGAAACAGTTGTGCTTACCAACTTGGCAGCCATGGTTCCACATGGGCACAGGAGAGGAATAACAAGACAGAAACAGTAGTGCTTACCATCTTGGCAGCCATGGTTCCACATGGGCACAGGGTTGGAATAACAAGACAGAAACAGTAGTGCTTACCAACTTGGCAGCCATGGTTCCACATGGGCACAGGGGTGGAATAACAAGACAAAAACAGTAGTGCTTACCAACTTGGCAGCCATGGTTCCACATGGGCACAGGGTTGGAATAACAAGACAGAAACAGTAGTGCTTACCAACTTGGCAGCCATGGTTCCACATGGGCACAGGGTTGGAATAACAAGACAGAAACAGTAGTGCTTACCAACTTGGCAGCCATGGTTCCACATGGGCACAGGGGTGGAATAACAAGACAAAAACAGTAGTGCTTACCAACTTGGCAGCCATGGTTCCACATGGGCACAGGGTTGGAATAACAAGACAGAAACAGTAGTGCTTACCAACTTGGCAGCCATGGTTCCACATGGGCACAGGAGAGGAATAACAAGACAGAAACAGTAGTGCTTACCCACTTGGCAGCCATGGTTCCACATGGGCACAGGGGTAGAATAACAAGACAGAAACAGTAGTGCTTACCCACTTGGCAGCCATGGTTCCACATGGGCACAGGGGTAGAATAACAAGACAGAAACAGTAGTGCTTACCCACTTGGCAGCCATGGTTCCACATGGGCACAGGAGAGGAATAACAAGACAGAAACAGTAGTGCTTACCAACTTGGCAGCCATGGTTCCACATGGGCACAGGAGAGGAATAACAAGACAGAAACAGTAGTGCTTACCATCTTGGCAGCCATGGTTCCACATGGGCACAGGAGAGGAATAACAAGACAGAAACAGTAGTGCTTACCAACTTGGCAGCCATGGTTCCACATGGGCACAGGAGAGGAATAACAAGACAGAAACAGTAGTGCTTACCAACTTGGCAGCCATGGTTCCACATGGGCACAGGAGAGGAATAACAAGACAGAAACAGTAGTGCTTACCAACTTGGCAGCCATGGTTCCACATGGGCACAGGGTTGGAATAACAAGACAGAAACAGTAGTGCTTACCAACTTGGCAGCCATGGTTCCACATGGGCACAGGAGAGGAATAACAAGACAGAAACAGTAGTGCTTACCAACTTGGCAGCCATGGTTCCACATGGGCACAGGGTTGTAGTTGGAGGAGTCTGTGCGGGTCCCGGCAGGGTAGATCCGCAGCAGCTTGTACTGTGACACCTGATTGATGCCCGTTGCTACAGTCTGGAGAAGTTTCTCAATCTTGTTCTCTCCAAGGGAATAGATAGCCAAGAACCCTCCTGTAACATCAAAGATAAATAGGAGACTGTGGCACATCTGGAAACTACCAAATACAGACAACTCTTCACCCTAATTGCTCAGATAGTGAAGGGGCAAAGGACTATTCCTTCAATCCACTTCCCAAAATCTTTTCTCTTTCCATCCCTCCTTCCCTTCACTCACTCCCTTTGCCAAACCCTTCCATTAAATCCTTCTCAAGTCACTCCTCTATCCCTCCTTCTCTCCTTTTCTTCCCCTTCACTCCTTCCCTCCATCACCTGCTCAATCTACCTGATGTGGACGCCTGTTCGGGGTCCTTGAAGCTGATGCTGGTCATGCCGGTGATGCGAGACAGCTCCTGGCACAGCTTGATGTGTTTGTGTCCGCTACTCTTCTTCTGCTCCTCCTGCTCTGTGTTTTCATTGACATCACCCTCTCCATCTTCCTCATCACTCACATCATCATTGTCGTGAGTCATTGTGGGCAGCTTCTTCCCCTGCAATAACACAACAACATCAACACAAGCACAGCCAGAATCTTCTCTAGCACCTAAGCAATGCCGCCCTTCATTCCTAACCCACTCCCAAAACCGTGAATGAATAAACTCACCTGTACATGCTGAAATTACTCACACCTAATACCCAAAGCCCACTAAATTCCTTTAATATGGCCCAACTAATTACTAATACAGTACTGTATCAAAGGATCCTCACCATTTTCCACAGGACACAAAAACCCATAGCTTCCTATGTTATTCCTGTGTAGCAATATATATATTTGTGTGTATATGAGAGGTACACAATCATTTATGAGCAATGAATAGATCCCAAATCAGCTACCTGCAATAGTTTCAATTTGTTGAATTTCAATGTTCTGTTTGATAAAGAGGAAATTAGTCCATTGTGTATATCAATGCATGCTTGTATTGAGTGACGTCATGTTAGTGGTGTGCCCTGTCTGTAGAACATTGTGATGTCATGTTAGTGGTGTGCCCTGTCTGTAGAACATTGTGATGTCATGTTAGTGGTGTGCCCTGTCTGTAGAACATTGTGATGTCATGTTAGTGGTGTGCCCTGTCTGTAGAACATTGTGACGTCATGTTAGTGGTGTGCCCTGTCTGTAGAACATTGTGATGTCATGTTAGTGGTGTGCCCTGTCTGTAGAACATTGTGACATCATGTTAGTGGTGTGCCCTGTCTGTAGAACATTGTGACATCATGTTAGTGGTGTTCCCTGTCTGTAGAACATTGTGACATCATGTTTGTGGTGTGCCCTGTCTGTAGAACATTGTGACATCATGTTAGTGGTGTTCCCTGTCTGTAGAACATTGTGATATCATGTTTGTGGTGTGCCCTGTCTGTAGAACATTGTGACATCATGTTTGTGGTGTGCCCTGTCTGTAGAACATTGTGATATCATGTTTGTGGTGTGCCCTGTCTGTAGAACATTGTGATATCATGTTTGTAGTGTGCCCTGTCTGTAGAACATTGTGACGTCATGTTAGTGGTGTGCCCTGTCTGTAGAACATTGTGACATCATGTTTGTGGTGTGCCCTGTCTGTAGAACATTGTGATATCATGTTTGTGGTGTGCCCTGTCTGTAGAACATTGTGACATCATGTTTGTGGTATGCCCTGTCTGTAGAACATTGTGATATCATGTTTGTGGTGTGCCCTGTCTGTAGAACATTGTGACGTCATGTTAGTGGTGTGCCCTGTCTGTAGAACATTGTGATGTCATGTTAGTGGTGTGCCCTGTCTGTAGAACATTGTGATGTCATTTTAGTGGTGTACGTTTTAGAATCAGTACTGGCAAGAATTACTTCACTGTGTTCAGGGGTGTCCTCGCATTACAAGGTGGTCTGCTGCATGTCAGCCCATATTTCCAGCAAGATACTTACTGTGGTGAAATAGCTTTGGTTAATGGCCTTTATAACGAATTCCTTACATGCAACCTACTCCAAACATTCAACTGAACCAATGTCATACCCTAGACATACACTAATCGTTTGTTTGTTGAACAAATCAAGTTCACAAAATTCAAAGCAGCGCGGTCTTATTGCCTACTTGTTCATATTTGCATCCTTGCCAATACTTATCAATATCACTTTCAGTGCAGAATTAATCTGATGAAACTTCATCCTGCAACACAGAGATAACATGGAAGGCATTTGGGTTACAGCTGATGTGCTCTTGTAACAGTTACATAGGTGAGGATAGGTGAGGATACATAAGGTTTGTTGACACTGCAACCTTCATGGCCCTTGTAGTTTAATGTTCTATATATTTCATTATCAATCATCACCAGAAAATGGTCATTTAAGAAAAAGACAAAAAAGTAAGACAAAAAGAAAAAAACAAATCTTAAAATCAAAGGATCAGTATCCCTAAAGCAACATTTAAAAAAAACATCTTCGAACATATTTCTCTGAATGCAATCATTGTAACTTATACTCTTTGACAGTTTTGTTTGTTTGTTGTTGTTTTTTGTTTGTTTAAAGCTGCACTCAGCACTATTGCAGCTATATGACGCTGGTCTTTAAATAATCGAGTCTGGACCAGACAATCCACTGATTGATGTCATGAGCATCGATCTACACAATTGGGATACGATGACATGTATCAACCAAGTCAGTGAGCCTGACCACCCAACCCGTCGCCTCTTACGACAAGCATGGTTTGCTGAAGACCCAGTGTAACCCTGATCTTCGTGGGTTACAGAGCTGTATAACGCCGGTCAGCAATATTACAGCTATATAAGGGCAAGTACATACTCATGTGTTGTACAGACAAACTAGAGGTTGATAGCATGAGCAACAAGCCCCTTTGTCACACAATCAGCCACGTCAAAACTTTAAAACCACAAATCCAATTAATTTTTACTCTTTCAAAAAGCATATTCTGCCCCAGAACACAACAGGGTAATCCTTTTAAAGAATATAATTAAGAATACTGAATGTTTACCAACAGTTCGTTAGGTGATGTATCTGACACATAACAGGATGATAACAGTGTGAAGTTGATGATATTACAGTATATGATATTGCTAGGATGTTAGGAAGCATGACACACAGGATAATAAGTCACAGATATCTTCAAGCAGCACGCAATGTCTGGGATGAGAGTAAGTCAATATAAGCTTAATAATACCTCAATACCCACTGGAAAATTCTAATAATTATGTTAAAATAAAACAAATATATTATTTAAAAAATATTATTTTCTAACTACAAATGATGAGGTTGTGGATGAAAATAAATCTCTACATCGACAATGGAACTAGTTTCACAAAATGAAATTTAACAAATTTTACAAATATTCATTAAATCCTCTCATAAATCATGTAAATGATAACTCATATTAAATAAAATATTAATGCTACAATGAAATATTATTAACTTGAACATAATTAATATGATTTTATATGGATTTTATAACATCTATCTCTAGTTGTGCAAACCCTTCATACAAGGTTATCCAACATGGATGCACTGTTTGACTGAAAGCAAGTCCACGTGTTATCTTAGTGTAGGATTCCAGGACTGTTACAGCATTTAACTGAACATTTAATTCATCATTCTGGAAACATTTCAGAGTGTTTTTGAAAACTACAAATTTGATAAGTTCATCATGTAATTTCTTATAATGAAAGAGAAAATAAAGCAAAGGTTTGATCTAAATAAAACAGCATATAACGAGAGTCAGACATGATCCCCTCCAGACCTGGAGCAAAACATCTGACCAATTGCAAAGCAAAGTATGACAATGGACTATGTGCTGTGATGTGCACAACAGCTGTACAATAGCCCTACACAAGTGGCAGCAGAAGGCTGTTCCTTGGCCGAGAAGCTGAAGAAGTGAAGCTGGGTTTGGAATATTTGGACAAAATGCTAAAGATGTATATTTGTGTGGCAAACATATGCATAAAAATGGATTTCACTTATGCAGGGTGCTCGTACAACTCCTAGCCTATCAGTGAACGTAAAACACTAGAACACTATCCTATATCTGACATTAAACTGTGTAGATGCACAACTGACAAATTACATTTTTCTCGTGCAAAAAACACAAATAAAACAAACTTGACAAAATCTATATTACTTGGTGACAATCAATAAAATATCCACGTAACAAAATTTAAATGGACTGAAATAAAAATATTAGTGATGTTTGATATAAACCAAATACCAACAAACTTTCCAAAAAATAAACAATTTTAAACTGCTAACCATAGTAATTTGTTATCAATGAAATAATTGTAAAACACAGGACAAATGGTGTAAAAAAGCATTAAACCAACAAACAAACATGTTATTGTCACTTGATCTACCTTTAGAGGAGTTGGTGCCAATGTCTTACCCTGTGAAGACAAATAATACACAAGCGATGCGTATTAGCGAGTTAGTTACACATGACAAAAACACCTCTTTCCATGGAAGAGAAAAGGGTTAGAATACACTCTCAAAATGAGCATGATAATCAATGAGCAAAAGGCTATGCTGAAAAAAACAGAGAATATACTTCTGTTATGTCAGATTTGTATATGGCTCTGTACCAAATATCTATTTTTCAATATTTTGTTTATAATTTGTCACTGATAATGTGAATGACCTGAACACAATGGAGAATACAAAAAATGTTGCAAGTAGGGTTTTATCAAATAATTATAATAAGTACAGAAAAATAAATATTGAAATTAAAAAGAACCTGATACAATTCAAGAAAAAGTAAGATATTAAATTTATTTATTCATGAATAAATGTTTCGAAAAACAGAAAACACTTTCATACAATAATGCAACAGATCAATTCTAAACATCTTTAACATATCAGCATAATTAGTTTATTCAACCTTCTCCTGTCCAAATCCTGACACGTTACTGGCCATAACAGAAAAGGGACACTGCTTCAATAGTCAACATCTTTCAAACTATTAAAAAACATTGATGAAACTTTTTAAATATTTTTGAAACTTTTATGAAACTGTTTATGAATTTTTCACACACAACATCCAGACTAAGAATTGAACCCCTTGAGCCAATACCCTGATCATTAATCTACTTCAGTTAAATAGTAAGAATAATTCTCAGCAAGAAATCCCATGGTTTGGTAGCAATGGCCCTTTTTCAGCAAATGAAATTTGTTTTTCAATTTCAAAATAGGTATGTAGAGGTAAATCAATAGAGATGCTAGAATCTGGCACATGACTTGGTCTTTTCAGGCTCATCGTGTACTAGGGGCGGTCGGGTAGACTAGTGGTTAAAGCGTTTGCTCGTCATGCCAAAGACCCGGATTCGATTCCCGACATGGGTACAATGTGTGAAGCCCACTTCTGGTGTCCCCCGCCGTGATATTGCTGGAATATTGCTAAAAGCGGCGTAAAACCATACTGACTCACTCACTCACTCATCATGTACTACTCAGCCAAGACCTTATGCACCTACAGCCCTCACAAAACTTTGACTGAGAGCGCAAGGCGAGAAGTTGTCAATAATGCATATCACAAAATTCACTTTGGTATTTTGTATAAATTCCCCTCAAAACATACCTCCTGCCTTCTACACCCAGCCATTCATTGAGACTCTCTTAGAGGGGGCAAGGCTTGGGTTATTTGGCAGTCCAAACAAATTTGACTGTCAGTTTGTCTTATGGTGTATATCAATTTGACTGGCAATAATTACAATGTCTAGAGCTGGGCAGAAAGTGAGCACCAGACTATGGATCCTGTTTCCCTTTAACAGAAGCGGCACAACAGATAGCACTCGATATCACACAGCAACACCTCACACATGGGCTTTGGTCCAGGTAAGCTAGAGTGATTACACAATTGCTGCACAGAAGAGGAAGACACAGACCACTCTGTTGTATAGCAGCTACATACTAGTACTGGTCTTTTATCCTATTTAAACATGAAACAAGTGGGTAAGATACAAGGAAGATGGTGGTAGAACATCCACCCATCAATCACATTCCACTCGGGACAAAACAAGTTCATGGTTGGCTTCCACTGATAATAAATCAAGCCAAACCAATCAGATACATATATTTTTTTAATTCTTTGATAGGCATTGCTTAGATGTTGACTTTGTCATCAACTGGCTTGAATTGTTTGATAGGCATTACTTAGATGTTGACGTCATCAACTGGCTTGAATTGTTTGATAGGCATTACTTAGATGTTGACTTTGTCATCAACTGGCTTGAATTGTTTGATAGGCATTACTTAGATGTTGACGTCATCAACTGGCTTGAGTTGTTTTATAGGCATTACTTAGATGTTGACTTTGTCATCAACTGGCTTGAATTGTTTGATAGGCATTACTTAGATGTTGACGTCATCAACTGGCTTGAATTGTTTGATAGGCATTACTTAGATGTTGACTTTGTCATCAACTGGCTTGAGCTGTTTGATAGGGTTTACTTAGATGTTGACTTTGTCATCAACTGGCTTGAGTTGTTTGATAGGCATTGCTTAGATGTTGACTTAGTCATCAACTGGCTTGAGTTGTTTGATAGGTATTACTTAGATGTTGACATTGTCATCAACTGGCTTGAATTGTTTGATAGGCATTACTTAGATGTTGACGTTGTCATCAACTGGCTTGAGTTGTTTGATAGGCATTACTTAGATGTTGACTTTGTCATCAACTGGCTTGAATTGTTTGATAGGCATTACTTATATGTTGACGTTGTCATCAACTGGCTTGAGTTGTTTTATAGGCATTACTTAGATGTTGACTTTGTCATCAACTGGCTTGAGTTGTTTGATAGGCATTACTTAGATGTTGACTTTGTCATCAACTGGCTTGAATTGTTTGATAGGCATGACTGAGATGTTGACTTTGTCATCAACTGGCTTGAATTGTTTTATAGGCATTACTTAGATGTTGTCTTGTCATCAACTCGCTTGAATTGTTTGATAGGCATTACTTAGATGTTGACGTTGTCATCAACTGGCTTGAATTGTTTGATAGGCATGACTGAGATGTTGACTTTGTCATCAACTGGCTTGAATTGTTTTATAGGCATTACTTAGATGTTGTCTTGTCATCAACTCGCTTGAATTGTTTGATAGGCATTACTTAGATGTTGACTTTGTCATCAACTGGCTTGAATTGTTTGATAGGCATTACTTAGATGTTGACGCTGTCATCAACTTGTCCCATATTTACTACTGTCCATGATATGACTTTCACATTCCTTACAGAACATGCCCACTCTAACACCTGGCATTATCACTGAATTTCAGTGACCAACAAATATCATTTTCACAGCAATTTTGCCTTTTTGCCCAGTGCATTCTGTTTGGGGAGGCTAATCAAGACTGGTTATTCTCTGACAATGAAATTTTATATTAAAAGACTTTTACAAGATGTCAGGGCCAAGATCCTTTCATAATTGCCTCAATTCTGAATTTCTTTTATATCCTACCATCTAAAAATGATTTGTCTGAACAGTTATAACTTGTAATGCATACAGACTAATTGAATCTTGAAACATGAACAACAACCTATAAACATGTGACGGTAAAGATCTATGATTATTAGTTCAATATTAGGCGAGTGAGTTGGGTTTCACGTTGCTTTGAGTGAGTTCACACAACTCATAGTTGAGTTCCACAGACCAGTTACAAGCATTCTCCTCCAACATCCAGCAACATAATCAGAACATCATGGGACAAATACACACTTTCTCATACAGCAGACTCTCTCTATGTAAAAGGGGATGACAGGGGACAGAATCGCGTCAAGTAGAAGGTAGGGTTTTATGGAGGTCAATAACTAGGTCAAGGTTTGCTGAGGTCAAGGCAGTTGGTCAAGTTCATGGTGATCCAGTTCATTAGCAGATCAAGTTTCATTCATGTAAAGCAGCAGGTCAAGGTCGATTGTTGTCAAGTACAAGGTCAAGGTCGATTGTTGTCAAGTACCAGGTCAAAGTTAATTAAGGTCAAGTTGCAGGTCATATAGCAGTCAAGGTTCATTAAGGTCACAGGTAAAGGTTCACTGAGGTCAAGCAGCAGGTCAAGGTTGATTGAGGTTAAATATCAGGTCAAGGTCCATTGTTGACAAGTAGCAGGTCAAGGTTCATTGTTGTCAAGTACCAAGTCAAGGTTAATTAAGGTCAAGTTGCAGGTCATATAGCAGTCAAGGTTCATTAAGGTCACAGGTAAAGGTTCACTGAGGTCAAGCAGCAGGTCAAGGTTGATTGAGGTTAAATATCAGGTCAAGGTCCATTGTTGACAAGTAGCAGGTCAAGGTTCATTGTTGTCAAGTATCAGGTCAAGGTTAATTAATGTCAAGAAGCAGGTCAAATAGCAGTCAAGGTTCATTAAGGTCAAGCAGTAGGTCAAGATTTACTGAGGTTGAGTATCAGGTCAAGGTTAATTAAGGTCAAGATGCAGGTCAAATAGCAGTCAAGGTTCATTAAGGGCAAGCAGCAGGTCAAGGTCTATTGAGGTCAAGTAGCCCATCAAAAGTTTCCTTCAATTTGACAGTTAAGAAAATAACTTTCTTAAGTTAACAAGGTTTGAGACGAGAGTCAACTGTAATCAAAAGTATGCTGATGGATATAAATAAGGGAACAGATATTAAAGGAAGCATTATTGTCTGAAGGTTGTTGGCAACATAGTGGCATGTCACTGTGTAAGAAATGTGTTAATTTGCTGGCGTGAAGCATCATTGAAAAAAACAGGATACCTTCATCTGCAATAATGTTAGGTGTTCCCTTACTTTTGTCCATCAGTATAAAACTCATCACCACTAATCACTACACCACTGGTAAGACAACACTACGTGCATGTTCACATACATCTGCTTGAAGCTTCTCATAATCAATCAATCTGTTGGTCAGGTGAGCTAACTATGTACTCCCTCTGTGCACCAGGTGAGCTCTTACCTTGATGAGGATCCTGTTTTTCAGCTCGTGTGGGTTGGGTGTGTGGTCGAGATCTCCCTCAGGGTACCACAACATGTCTGACAATGATGTAAGGACATACAAACATGTGAGTGAGTGAGTTAGAGAGTGAGTGAGTGAGTGAGTGAGTGAGTGAGTGAGTGAGTGAGTGAGTGAGTGAGTGAGTGAGTGAGTGAGTGCGTGAGTGAGTGATATTTCATGCCAAACTCAACACTATCCCAGTTATATGACGGCAGTCTCTAAACAATCGAGTCTGTACCAGACAATCCAGTGATTGTATCATCAGCATCGATCTAGGCAATTGAGATACGACGACATTCATCAACCAAGTCAGCAAGTCTGAACACCCAATCCAGTTATTTGCCTCCTACAACAAGCCTGGGTTCTAGAAGACAAATTCTGGGTAGATACAATAAAGTGCAAGAAAACATAAGGGACACCTTTGTGTAATCAAGGGGACAACAGATTTGTGACTCTTATTTCATTTTTTGTCCATGACTTTTGCAAGTGAAAGTGATAAGGGACAAGTGGGCCCTATTTAGCTATGGAGCTACTTAACTGGAGAATGTAGCTTTGTGAAAATAAATAAATAAAATAACAAGTCACTTTGCAAGACTTAACATTTGTTCTCTGGTAACACAGATGCTGTCTGGGTTATATGCAAACACAAAACATAAACAAAATAAAATTTTGACTTGAAACAAAACCCCAAAATGACACCTGCCAATAACAAGTGAAGGATCTGATCTGGCTTACACGTCATGAATCAGTGCTTGCTATATACGGCTACTCCAGGGAAACACAACATGAGTTTTACACCATTTTACACCAATATTCCTAAACTATCTGATAGGAAACGTCACACATTGTGTCTGGAATCAACCCTGATGTCAGGTGTGAGGGGCGAACCAGGCGGCTCCCCTCTGCCTGTGAAGGATACCGCCCAGAATCTCAGTCAGGTGCTTGGCCATCACCTTCTGCTGGTCGATGGAGCAGTGGTTCTCTAGGGACAGGGTCAGGGGGTACCTGCAACATAGTGAGTGAGAGAGGGAGTTAGTTGAAAGCATGACAACCAGTTACCCCTGCCTGGACCAATATTTTGGAAGACCACAGGTCCAATTCTTTGGTTCAGACAAAAACGACTTTCATCCGAGAAGATGACATTCCTCCATTGCTGATGACACCAATGTTGACGCTGTGTTGCCTGTCCGAGTTGTACCTGACGATGTCAGTCTGTAAGGATGGGCACTCGAGCACAATGTCAACAAAAGATGTTGCTGGCAATGAGGGGACGTTGCACTGTATTGGCACTGATAGGTGCCAAGCTGTTTCAGCGGCGCCGAGGATGGTGATGGTGATGGTGATGCATGTTACGATCTTGTCAAGGCATAGTGACTCAGGGCCGACCACTACATGGATGGTCGTCGGTGCTGTTGGTAGTGGTAGCTTTTATACCCATAGCTATCTCATTCTGCACACGCATCTTGATTTGCACAAGGAATGTTGCAACTGCTCCCACAGAATTTTGTGATCAACACCAGCAGCGTTTCCAGGCCAGGATATGATGCAGGAAAATGTTTACTTCCACCCAGTTCTCCAACAGAGTGTAGCTGAGCTAATATGGCTTGTGTTACAAATGTTTACAGAAATTGTGTTTCTTTTGGGGTTAAGTATACTACTCAAAACAAGTTAAAGAGTGAGTGTGTTTGGTTTTACGCCCCTTTTAGCAATATTCCAGCAATATCACAACATGGGGGGACACCAGAAATGGGCTTCACACATTGTAACCATGTCTGGAATCGAGCCCGGGTCTTCGGCGTGACGAGGTAACGCTTTAACCACTAGGCTCCCCGACTGCCCACCCCCCATTAGAGTCATATGAAAAAATCAGTTGTTCCTTAACATCTTTTGAGTAGCATATAATACTGAGGATTTGCTTTCTATGTTCAGTAAAAATCAAATTATGATAACTTTGTACAGGTGAGATAAAAATTGATCCATTTATTTTTAAGCATGAATTATTGAACCGAAATGCTCACGGAGTGGCTTTGAAGGCGTAGTCTTTGATAGCCATGATCACGTCACGGAAGAGGATCTTAGAGGTGAGGGTGTAACCATGGTAGATGATGGGTTCATCGTCAGGCCCATCCCAGCAGTCCACTGCAAGACAACAACATCAGTAACAACAACATCAGTGACAACAACATCAGTAGCTACAACATCAGTAGCTACAACATCAGTAGCAACAACATCAGTGACAACAACATCAGTAACAACATCAGTGAGAACAACATCAGTGAGAACAACATCAGTAGCTACAACATCAGTAACAACAACATCAGTAGCAACAACATCAGTAGCTACAACATCAGTAGCAACAACATCAGTAACAACAACATCAGTAGCAACAACATCAGTAGCTACAACATCAGTGAGAACAACATCAGTGAGAACAACATCAGTGAGAACAACATCAGTAACAACAACATCAGTAACAACAACATCAGTAGCAACAACATCAGTAACAACATCAGTGAGAACAACATCAGTAACAACAACATCAGTAACAACAACATCAGTGAGAACAACATCAGTAACAACAACATCAGTAGCAACAACATCAGTAACAACAACATCAGTGAGAACAACATCAGTAACAACAACATCAGTAGCAACAACATCAGTAACAACAACATCAGTGAGAACAACATCAGTAACAACAACATCAGTAGCAACAACATCAGTAGCAACAACATCAGTAGCTACAACATCAGTAACAACAACATCAGTGAGAACAACATCAGTAACAACAACATCAGTAGCAACAACATCAGTAGCAACAACATCAGTGAGAACAACATCAGTGAGAACAACATCAGTGAGAACAACATCAGTAGCAACAACATCAGTAACAACAACATCAGTAACAACAACATCAGTAACAACAACATCAGTGAGAACAACATCAGTGAGAACAACATCAGTGAGAACAACATCAGTAGCAACAACATCAGTAACAACAACATCAGTAGCAACAACATCAGTAGCTACAACATCAGTAACAACAACATCAGTGAGAACAACATCAGTAGCTACAACATCAGTAGCTACAACATCAGTAACAACAACATCAGTGAGAACAACATCAGTAGCTACAACATCAGTAGCTACAACATCAGTAACAACAACATCAGTGAGAACAACATCAGTAGCTACAACATCAGTAGCTACAACATCAGTAACAACAACATCAGTGAGAACAACATCAGTAGCAACAACATCAGTAGCAACAACATCAGTAACAACAACATCAGCAGCAACAACATCAGTAACAACAACATCAGTGAGAACAACATCAGTGAGAACAACATCAGTAGCTACAACATCAGTAACAACAACATCAGTGAGAACAACATCAGTAGCTACAACATCAGTAGCAACAACATCAGCAGCAACAACATCAGCAGCAACAACATCAGTGAGAACAACATCAGTAGCTACAACATCAGTAACAACAACATCAGTGAGAACAACATCAGTAGCTACAACATCAGTAGCAACAACATCAGCAGCAACAACATCAGCAGCAACAACATCAGTGAGAACAACATCAGTAGCTACAACATCAGTAACAACAACATCAGTAGCAACAACATCAGTGAGAACAACATCAGTAGCAACAACATCAGTAACAACAACATCAGTGAGAACAACATCAGTAGCAACAACATCAGTAGCAACAACATCAGCAGCAACAACATCAGTGAGAACAACATCAGTAGCTACAACATCAGTAACAACAACATCAGCAGCAACAACATCAGTAACAACAACATCAGCAGCAACAACATCAGCAGCAACAACATCAGCAGCAACAACATCAGTGAGAACAACATCAGTAGCTACAACATCAGTAACAACAACATCAGCAGCAACAACATCAGTAACAACAACATCAGTCCACAGGACCCCAACATCCTGTATAGAGCTAAAGCTAGGGAGGACAAAACAGGGTCTATCAGAGTTTTACAAGCCACAGAAATGTGCATCCCATACGCACAAATGTATAGAATGTATGCTGAAATAAATATATATCCCTTCCCCAAGCATAATAATATTCACTGTTCCAAATTCTTGACAAGAAGTATATAAGTCCTGTAATTAAAGTAATTATCCAATCTTACAGTACAGCAGACTTCACCATTTCATTACTTTACAGGACTCTCATATTTCCAGTAAGGACCCTTGAAATTATTGCGTAATTGAGATATCAAAGTTCAAAGCTCTTCATCTTTTACTGATTAAGCTAGCATCTTTCTGATTCAAGGAACTTACTGGGATTGAAGCTCAAAAGCACAAGATATTGACGAGACCAACCACTATCGACCTTAGGAAGTATGCTTGGAAAGGAACGCCAATTGGGGCGCTGTGCCTGGACAGGGTTTGAAGTTCAGTATGTTCACAAACTAGCATGTAGCAATGTAGATCAAGTGGGGTCCAGGGCAGGGTGTCAAATCAAATTATCGTTTTGTTAGTTTCACCGACATTTTACTTGGTTTCAGTTACCTACTGCCTTGTTTAAATCTTAATATTCAGCAGCTGTGGGTAATGCCTTCATCTCATAACTTCCCAAATCAGATGTGTACAGGCTTAAAAAATCTTTAGACAAGTTCACATGACTTATTGACTTCAAAGCAGTGCCTGTTTCGTCTCCACACAGCTCCTCCTCTATAAACTAATTCATAGCTCTGAGAGAGTATCCCCAAATGTAGGTCATATAGGGTAGCCCAAATGTAGGTCATATAGTGTAGCCCAAATGTAGGTCATCTAGTGTACCCCAAATGTAGGTCATATAGTGTACCCCAAATGTAGGTCATATAGTGTACCCCAAATGTAGGTCATATAGTGTACCCCAAATATAGGTCACAGAGAGTAGCCCCAAATGTAGGTCACAGAGAGTAGCCCCTAATATAGGTCACAGAGAGTATCCCCAAATATAGGTCATAGATGTCTCACAATTCAATTCAGTTCAATTCAATTCAATGTATGACACAATGATATACATTGTAGTTGCATATCGGTACTCAAATTATTCACTTACATCACAATATAAATGCAAGATTGATGACCACAGCAACTTGATGTTGTAAACTTGTATCACAATTTGCCAACAAGGACAAGAAAATATGGAGTCTAATAACTGAAAGAAATTTTAAGAGGGATACTTAATTTTAATGTTGGCCCATGCAGGACACACAAACATGACATGAAATTCCTCTGTCACTCTCTCAGCAACACCCAGCCCATAGCTACAATTCTTGGGGTATGTAGTGCATCTATGCTGGAGGGTTACCTCTGCTGTAAGCTCTACAACAGCTCAATGAAACAGGCCCAGACCCATGTTTAAAGTAGACTTCAACATGAGATATTACCTACTACAGAAAGTAAATCAACTCACACTCCACACAGCGGCAGCCCTTGGTGAGGGCAGCGATGTACGCCTCCACCTTGCTGGGCCCCTTCAGTTGGTCCTCCGACAGATACCTGCAACATCAAGCACAACCACAGGGAAATAGATGAGGTTATATATACAGGGAATTATCTAGCATCCATCTAGGATTCTAAAATGTGTCCTTCGATAACTTGGAAAACTATCATTATTTTTTCAAAATTGGGATTTTTTAATTGTTCTATATGTTCTAATTCCCAGGTATTTTAATACCATGCATTGAAGCCTCTTAAATGGTTGTGTGTTCAGTGAAAATGAGTCACCAACACAAAGCCTCAACATTATGTATACTGTATTCAGTGTGTGGATGGTGTTTTATTTTCCAGAAGAGTGATATAGTGGTTGAGATGCGGGACGATGCGATGAAGTAGTGTGTGATGGTGTGAGGTACCTACATGTTGTGGGACGATGCTATGAAGTAGTGTGTGATGGTATGAGGTACCTACGTGTTGTGGTACGATGCAATGAAGTAGTGTGTGATGGTGTGAGGTACCTACGTGTTGTGGACGATGCGATGAAGTAGTGTGTGATGGTGTGAGGTACCTACGTGTTGTGGGACGATGCTATGAAGTAGTGTGTCATGGTGTGAGGTACCTACATGTTGTGGGACGATGCGATGAAGTAGTGTGTCATGGTGTGAGGTACCTACGTGTTGTGGGACGATGCTATGAAGTAGTGTGTCATGGTGTGAGGTACCTACGTGTTGTGGGACAATGCGATGAAGTACTGTGTGATGGTGTGAGGAACCTATGTGTTGTGGACGATGCTATGAAGTAGTGTGTGATGGTGTGAGGTACCTACATGTTGTGGTACGATGCAATGAAGTAGTGTGTGATGGTGTGAGGTACCTACGTGTTGTGGACAATGCGATGAAGTAGTGTGTGATGGTGTGAGGAACCTATGTGTTGTGAACGATGCGATGAAGTGGTGTGTGATGGTGTGAGGTTCCTACGTGTTGTGGGACGATGCGATGAAGTACTGTGTGATGGTGTGAGGAACCTATGTGTTGTGGACGATGCTATGAAGAAGTGTGTGATGGTGTGAGGTACCTACGTGTTGTGGACGATGCGATGAAGTACTGTGTCATGGTGGTGTGAGGTACCTACGTGTTGTGGGACGATGCGATGAAGTAGTGTGTGATGGTGTGAGGTACCTACGTGTTGTGGATGATGCGATGAAGCACTGTGTCATGGTGGTGTGAGGTACCTACGTGTTGTGGGACGATGCTATGAAGTACTGTGTCATGGTGTGAGGTACCTACGTGTTGTGGGACGATGCGATGAAGTAGTGTGTGGTGATTTGAGGTACCTACGTGTTGTGGGACGATACGATGAAGTAGTGTGTGATGGTGTGAGGTACCTACGTGTTGTGGATGATGCGATGAAGCACTGTGTCATGGTGGTGTGAGGTACCTACGTGTTGTGGGACGATGCTATGAAGTACTGTGTCATGGTGTGAGGTACCTACGTGTTGTGGGACGATGCTATGAAGTAGTGTGTGGTGATTTGAGGTACCTACGTGTTGTGGGACGATACGATGAAGTAGTGTGTGATGGTGTGAGGTACCTACTTGTTGTGGGACGATGCTATGAAGTAGTGTGTGGTGATTTGAGGTACCTACGTGTTGTGGGACGATGCGATGAAGTAGTGTGTCATGGTGGTGTGAGGTACCTACATGTTGTGGGACGATGCTATGAAGTAGTGTGTGATGGTGTGAGGTACCTACGTGTTGTGGATGATGCGATGAAGCACTGTGTCATGGTGGTGTGAGGTACCTACGTGTTGTGGGACGATGCTATGAAGTACTGTGTCATGGTGTGAGGTACCTACGTGTTGTGGGACGATGCTATGAAGTAGTGTGTGGTGATTTGAGGTACCTACGTGTTGTGGGACGATACGATTAAGTAGTGTGTGATGGTGTGAGGTACCTACGTGTTGTGGATGATGCGATGAAGCACTGTGTCATGGTGGTGTGAGGTACCTACGTGTTGTGGGACGATGCTATGAAGTACTGTGTCATGGTGTGAGGTACCTACGTGTTGTGGGACGATGCTATGAAGTAGTGTGTGGTGATTTGAGGTACCTACGTGTTGTGGGACGATACGATGAAGTAGTGTGTGATGGTGTGAGGTACCTACTTGTTGTGGGACGATGCTATGAAGTAGTGTGTGGTGATTTGAGGTACCTACGTGTTGTGGGACGATGCGATGAAGTAGTGTGTCATGGTGGTGTGAGGTACCTACATGTTGTGGGACGATGCTATGAAGTAGTGTGTCATGGTGTGAGGTACCTACGTGTTGTGGGACGATGCAATGAAGTAGTGTGTGATGGTGTGAGGTACCTACGTGTTGTGGATGATGCGATGAAGTAGTGTGTCATGGTGGTGTGAGGTACCAACGTGTTGTGGATGATGCGATGAAGTAGTGTGTGATGGTGTGAGGTACCTACATGTTGTGGGACGATGCTATGAAGTAGTGTGTGGTGATGTGAGGTACCTACGTGTTCTGGGACGATGCGATGAAGTAGTGTGTCATGGTGTGAGGTACTTACGTGTGGTGGATGATGCGATGAAGTACTGTGTCATGGTGGTGTGAGGTACCTACGTGTTGTGGACGATGCTATGAAGTAGTGTGTCATGGTCTGAGGTACCTACGTGTTGTGGGACGATGCGATGAAGTAGTGTGTGGTGGCGTGAGGTACCTACGTGTTGTGGGATGATGCGATGAAGTAGTGTGTCATGGTGTGAGGTACCTACGTGTTGTGGGATGATGCGATGAAGTAGTGTGTGGTGATGTGAGGTACCTACGTGTTGTGGGACGATGCGATGAAGTAGTGTGTCATGGTCTGAGGTACCTACGTGTTGTGGGACGATGCGATGAAGTAGTGTGTGGTGGCGTGAGGTACCTACGTGTTGTGGGATGATGCGATGAAGTAGTGTGTCATGGTGTGAGGTACCTACGTGTTGTGGGACGATGCGATGAAGTAGTGTGTGGTGATGTGAGGTACCTACGTGTTGTGGGACAATGCGATGAAGTAGTGTGTCATGGTCTGAGGTACCTACGTGTTGTGGGACGATGCGATGAAGTAGTGTGTGGTGGCTCGAGGTACCTACGTGTTGTGGGATGATGCGATGAAGTAGTGTGTCATGGTCTGAGGTACCTACTTGTTGTGGGACGATGCGATGAAGTAGTGTGTGGTGGCGTGAGGTACCTACGTGTTGTGGGACGATACGATGAAGTACTGTGTCATGGTGGTGTGAGGTACCTACATGTTGTGGACGATGCGATGATGTAGTGTGTGATGGTGTGAGGTACCTACGTGTTGTGGGACGATGCGATGAAGTAGTGTGTCATGGTGTGAGGTACCTACGTGTTGTGGGATGATGCGATGAAGTAGTGTGTGGTGATGTGAGGTACCTACGTGTTGTGGGACGATGCGATGAAGTAGTGTGTCATGGTCTGAGGTACCTACGTGTTGTGGGACGATGCGATGAAGTAGTGTGTGGTGGCGTGAGGTACCTACGTGTTGTGGGATGATGCGATGAAGTAGTGTGTCATGGTGTGAGGTACCTACGTGTTGTGGGCAATGCGATGAAGTAGTGTGTGGTGATGTGAGGTACCTACGTGTTGTGGGACGATGCGATGATGTAGTGTGTGATGGTGTGAGGTACCTACGTGTTGTGGGACGATGCGATGAAGTAGTGTGTCATGGTGTGAGGTACCTACGTGTTGTGGATGATGCGATGAAGTACTGTGTCATGGTGGTGTGAGGTACCTACGTGTTGTGGATGATGCGATGAAGTAGTGTGTCATGGTGGTGTGAGGTACCTACATGTTGTGGACGATGCAATGAAGAAATGTGTCATGGTGTGAGGTACCTACGTGTTGTGGGACGATGCGATGAAGTAGTGTGTCATGGTGGTGTGAGGTACCTACATGTTGTGGGATGATGCGATGAAGTAGTGTGTGATGGTCTGAGGTACCTACGTGTTGTGGACGATGCGATGAAGTAGTGTGTCATGGTGGTGTGAGGTACCTACATGTTGTGGGATGATGCGATGAAGTAGTGTGTGATGGTCTGAGGTACCTACGTGTTGTGGGATGATGCGATGAAGTAGTGTGTCATGGTGTGAGGTACCTACGTGTTGTGGGACGATGCGATGAAGTAGTGTGTCATGGTCTGAGGTACCTACGTGTTGTGGGACGATGCAATGAAGTAGTGTGTGATGGTGTGAGGTACCTACGTGTTGTGGGATGATGCGATGAAGTAGTGTGTGATGGTGTGAGGTACCTACGTGTTGTGGGACGATGCGATGAAGTAGTGTGTCATGGTCTGAGGTACCTACGTGTTGTGGGACGATGCGATGAAGTAGTGTGTGATGGTGTGAGGTACCTACGTGTTGTGGGATGATGCGATGAAGTAGTGTGTCATGGTGTGAGGTACCTACGTGTTGTGGACGATGCGATGAAGTAGTGTGTCATGGTGGTGTGAGGTACCTACGTGTTGTGGGATGATGCGATGAAGTAGTGTGTCATGGTGGTGTGAGGTACCTACGTGTTGTGGGACGATGCGATGAAGTAGTGTGTGTTGGTGTGAGTAACCTACATGTTGTAGACGATGCCATGAAGTAGTGTGTGATGGTCTGAGGTACCTACGTGTTGTGGGATGATGCGATGAAGTAGTGTGTCATGGGGTGCAGCATGTCCTGGTACACGCGGCTGTGTTCCGGGTTGAACAACTGCTGCTTGTCAGAGGACAGGAACACCCGGAAACCTGCAACATCAGCACCGCTCTGGTTTATACCACATACCAAGCACATCACAGGAGAATTTCGTACTGATCTGTTACAAAAACATCAATGGTGCCTTCCCACATAGATTGTACACATGTCCTTCACAGTATCATATACACTACCCTGTATAGCCAGATATACACTATCCTGTATAGCCAGATACACTACCCTGAATAGCCTGATATACACTACCCTGTATAGCCAGATATACACTACCCTGTATAGCCAGATATACACTACCCTGTGTACTCAGATATACACTACCTTGTATTGCCAGATATACACTACCCTGTATAGCCAGATACACTACCTTGCATAGCCAGATATACACTACCCTGTATAGCCAGATATACACTACCCTGTATAGCCAGATATACACTACCCTGTGTACTCAGATATACACTACCTTGTATTGCCAGATATACACTACCTAGTATAGCCAGATATACACTACCCTGTACAGCCAGATATACACTACCCTGTATAGCCAGATATACACTACCCTGTATAGCCAGATACACTACCCTGAATAGCCTGATATACACTTCCCTATTTAGTCAGATATACACTACCTTGTTTAGCCAGTTATACACAACCCTGTATAGCCAGATATACACTACCTTGCATAGCCAGATATACACTACCCTGTATAGCCAGATATACACTACCCTGTATAGCAAGATATACACTACCCTGTGTACTCAGATATACACTACCTTGTATTGCCAGATATACACTACCTAGTATAGCCAGATATACACTACCCTGTACAGCCAGATATACACTACCCTGTATAGCCAGATATACACTACCCTGTATAGTCAGATATACACTACCCTGTATAGCCAGATATACACTACCCTGTATAGCAAGATATACACTACCCTGTGTACTCAGATATACACTACCTTGTATTGCCAGATATACACTACCTAGTATAGCCAGATATACACTACCCTGTACAGCCAGATATACACTACCCTGTATAGCCAGATATACACTACCCTGTATAGTCAGATATACACTACCCTGTATAGCCAGATATACACTACCCTGTATAGCAAGATATACACTACCCTGCCTAGCCAGATATACACTACCCTGTATAGCCAGATATACACTACCCTGTATAGCCAGATATACACTACCCTGTACAGCCAGATATACACTACCCTGTATAGCCAGATATACACTACCCTGCCTAGCCAGATATACACTACCATGTATAGCCAGATACACACTACCCTGTATAGCCAGATATACACTACCTTGTACAGCCAGATACACTACCCTGAATAGCCTGATATACACTACCCTGTATAGCCAGATATACACTACCCTGTATAGCTAGATAGACACTAACCCGTATAGCCTGACATACACTACCCTGTATAGCCAGATATACACTACCCTGTATAGCTAGATATACACTACCCTGTATAGCCAGATATACACTACCCTGTGTAGCCAGATATACACTACCCTGTATAGCCAGATATACACTACCCTGTATAGCCTGATATACACTACCCTGTATAGCCAGGTATACACTACCCTGTATAGCCAGATATACACTACCATGTATAGCCAGATATACACTACCCTGTATAGCCTGACATACACTACCCTGTATAGCCAGATATACACTACCCTGTATAGCTAGATATACACTACCCTGTATAGCCAGGTATACACTACCCTGTATAGCCAGATATACACTACCCTGTATAGCCAGATATACACTACCCTGTATAGCCTGACATACACTACCCTGTATAGCCAGATATACACTACCCTGTATAGCTAGATATACACTACCCTGTATAGCCAGATATACACTACCCTGTGTAGCCAGATATACACTACCCTGTATAGCCAGGTATACACTACCCTGTATAGCCTGATATACACTACCCTGTATAGCCAGGTATACACTACCCTGTATAGCCAGATATACACTACCATGTATAGCCAGATATACACTACCCTGTATAGCCAGATATACACTACCCTGTATACCCAGATATACACTACCCTGTATAGCCAGATATACACTACCCTGTATAGTCAGATATACACTACCTTGTTTAGCCAGTTATACACTACCCTGTATAGCCTGATATACACTACCTTGCATAGCCAGATATACACTACCCTGTATAGCCAGATACACTACCCTGAATAGCCTGATATACACTACCCTATATAGTCAGATATACACTACCTTGTTTAGCCAGTTATACACTACCCTGCATAGCCAGATATACACTACCTTGCATAGCCAGATATACACTACCCTGTATAGCCAGATATACACTACCTTGCATAGCCAGATATACACTACCCTGTATAGCCTGACATACACTACCCTGTATAGCCAGATATACACTACCCTGTATAGCTAGATATACACTACCCTGTATAGCCAGGTATACACTACCCTATATAGCCAGATATACACTACCCTGTATAGCCAGATATACACTACCCTGTATAGCGAGATATACACCACCCTGTATAGCCAGATATACACCACCCTGTATAGCCAGATATACACTACCCTGTATAGCCAGATATACACTACCCTGTATAGCCAGATATACACTACCCTGCATAGCCAGATATACACTACCCTGCATAGCAAGATATACACTACCCTGTATAGCCAGATATACACTACCTTGTATGGACATTTGGTCTCTCTGCTTCAGCACAGAGTGGGGTTCATGCATCTGTATGAAAGAGCGACATGTTTCTTCATCTGCGTCCATCATCTGAAACTCACAAGTGACATCTGCACACAACAGAAAAATGGGAGGTGCCTTGGGCAAAAACTCATTTGTTTTATTAAAGGTTGCTATGAAATTCTTCTTTTTTCAAATGATTTTTAGTATTCCAGGAAGTCTTCAACAACGTGACATGCTTCTACATTCACTGTGTCGACTGCTGCGTGGTCAGCTACACTGTAGGACTGTCTCACCCTCTGAGCCTCCCTGATGAATGACAGCAGATCTCGAACTGTTAGGTAGGCCTTTCCTCGTGTGTATCTGTACAACAGAGAACTCAGAGTAAGCAAGGACTATACAAAGAGATACCATGACTATGCATCAACCTGGCAACATAAGACACTATATGCCTTCCTGTGTATAGATAGATTCATGTCTTAATTCTAAATCAATTTTCAAAAGCCTGCCTACCTACCTCCAAACAACCACCCACCCCTACACCTAAATCACCCACCATACCCCAACACCACCCGACCCCAACACCACCCGACCCATGAAGATCCGGGGTAGAAAAGGTCTTCAGCAACCCATGATTGCTGTAAAAGGCGACTAATGGGGTCAGGTGGTCAGGCTCGCTGACTTGGTTGATGCATGTGATCGTATCCCAATTGTGTGTCAATCACTGTATTGTCTGGTCCAGACTCGATTATTTACAGACCGCCGTCAAATAGCTGGAATATTGCTAAGTGCGGTGTTAAACAACAAACAAACCCTACATCACGTCCCATACCCCTACAAGAGGGAGATACACTGCTACCCACCGGAGAAATATCTCTTCCAGCTCCGGCCTCTGGGTCAAGGCGTGGTAGAAGTTGACAAACTCGTTCCTGTCCAGGACAGCCTTGCTCTTCGTGCTCTTGTTTGTGTCCGCCTTCTGCAAGAAGCAAGTCATCAGTGAGTCCACAGTCACTGGTGACACATGTCCAACAAATGTAATTCCTAACATATATCTTGATGCTTAGATTCCACCATTTTAAACCTGTCATTGGCAGCTGTGGGCAGACAATCAGAGTTTACCCAGTAAGCTATATCCAGACTCTGGTAGCCACTATTCATGAGTTGGAGTTCTGGCTACTTTAAGAGAGAGCATGTATATTTCATTTAGGCACATCAGATTAATGCCAGAGTAATGGCCAAATGGGGTAAAACATTTCAGACAATCACAGACAATCACAGACAATCTGAGACACTCAAAGACACTCAAGAACAATCATGGCCAATCACAGACAATCTGAGACACTCAAAGACACTCAAGAACAATCATGGCCAATCACAGACAATCACAGACAATCTGAGACACTTAAAGACACTCAAGAACAATCATGGACATTCATAGACAATCACAGACAATCTGAGACACTCAAAGACACTCAAGAACAATCATGGCCAATCACAGACAATCTGAGACACTCACGGACAAAGGTTCCAACTGACTGATGATCACTTTGGGGGGAATCTGTGGAATTGCTTTTTTAATTGTTTTTCTTAAACTTTTAACTTAGCTTAGGGGCGGAGTTGACACTCATAACTAGTATTATTACAAAAACTGACAGTATGATCACATAGGTTCTGAAAACACTGTGTCCACTATGTAACATAACTAGTATTGTTACAAAAACTGACAGTATGATCACATAGGTTCTGAAAACACTGTGTCCACTATGTAACATAACTAGTATTGTTACAAAAACTGACAGTATGATCACATAGGTTCTGAAAACACTGTGTCCACTATGTAACATAACTAGTATTGTTACAAAAACTGACAGTATGATCACATAGGTTCTGAAAACACTGTGTCCACTATGTAACATAACTAGTATTATTACAAAAACTGACAGTATGATCACATAGGTTCTGAAAACACTGTGTCCACTATGTAACATAACTAGTATTGTTACAAAAACTGACAGTATGATCACATAGGTTCTGAAAACACTGTGTCCACTATGTAACATAACTAGTATTGTTACAAAAACTGACAGTATGATCACATAGGTTCTGAAAACACTGTGTCCACTATGTAACATAACTAGTATTGTTACAAAAACTGACAGTATGATCACATAGGTTCTGAAAACACTGTGTCCACTATGTAACATAACTAGTATTGTTACAAAAACTGACAGTATGATCACATAGGTTCTGAAAACACTGTGTCCACTATGTAACATAACTAGTATTGTTACAAAAACTGACAGTATGATCACATAGGTTCTGAAAACACTGTGTCCACTATGTAACATAACTAGTATTGTTACAAAAACTGACAGTATGATCACATAGGTTCTGAAAACACTGTGTCCACTATGTAACATAACTAGTATTGTTACAAAAACTGACAGTATGATCACATAGGTTCTGAAAACACTGTGTCCACCATGTAACATAACTAGTATTGTTACAAAAACTGACAGTATGATCACATAGGTTCTGAAAACACTGTGTCCACTATGTAACATAACTAGTATTATTACAAAAACTGACAGTATGATCACATAGGTTCTGAAAACACTGTGTCCACTATGTAACATAACTAGTATTGTTACAAAAACTGACAGTATGATCACATAGGTTCTGAAAACACTGTGTCCACTATGTAACATAACTAGTATTGTTACAAAAACTGACAGTATGATCACATAGGTTCTGAAAACACTGTGTCCACCATGTAACATAACTAGTATTGTTACAAAAACTGACAGTATGATCACATAGGTTCTGAAAACACTGTGTCCACTTTGTAACATAACTAGTATTATTACAAAAACTGACAGTATGATCACATAGGTTCTGAAAACACTGTGTCCACTATGTAACATAACTAGTATTGTTACAAAAACTGACAGTATGATCACATAGGTTCTGAAAACACTGTGTCCACTATGTAACATAACTAGTATTGTTACAAAAACTGACAGTATGATCACATAGGTTCTGAAAACACTGTGTCCACTATGTAACATAACTAGTATTGTTACAAAAACTGACAGTATGATCACATAGGTTCTGAAAACACTGTGTCCACTATGTAACATAACTAGTATTGTTACAAAAACTGACAGTATGATCACATAGGTTCTGAAAACACTGTGTCCACTATGTAACATAACTAGTATTGTTACAAAAACTGACAGTATGATCACATAGGTTCTGAAAACACTGTGTCCACCATGTAACATAACTAGTATTGTTACAAAAACTGACAGTATGATCACATAGGTTCTGAAAACACTGTGTCCACTATGTAACATAACTAGTATTGTTACAAAAACTGACAGTATGATCACATAGGTTCTGAAAACACTGTGTCCACTATGTAACATAACTAGTATTGTTACAAAAACTGACAGTATGATCACATAGGTTCTGAAAACACTGTGTCCACCATGTAACATAACTAGTATTGTTACAAAAACTGACAGTATGATCACATAGGTTCTGAAAACACTGTGTCCACTATGTAACATAACTAGTATTGTTACAAAAACTGACAGTATGATCACATAGGTTCTGAAAACACTGTGTCCACTATGTAACATAACTAGTATTGTTACAAAAACTGACAGTATGATCACATAGGTTCTGAAAACACTGTGTCCACTATGTAACATAACTAGTATTGTTACAAAAACTGACAGTATGATCACATAGGTTCTGAAAACACTGTGTCCACTATGTAACATAACTAGTATTGTTACAAAAACTGACAGTATGATCACATAGGTTCTGAAAACACTGTGTCCACTATGTAACATAACTAGTATTGTTACAAAAACTGACAGTATGATCACATAGGTTCTGAAAACACTGTGTCCACCATGTAACATAACTAGTATTGTTACAAAAACTGACAGTATGATCACATAGGTTCTGAAAACACTGTGTCCACTATGTAACATAACTAGTATTGTTACAAAAACTGACAGTATGATCACATAGGTTCTGAAAACACTGTGTCCACTATGTAACATAACTAGTATTGTTACAAAAACTGACAGTATGATCACATAGGTTCTGAAAACACTGTGTCCACTATGTAACATAACTAGTATTGTTACAAAAACTGACAGTATGATCACATAGGTTCTGAAAACACTGTGTCCACTATGTAACATAACTAGTATTGTTACAAAAACTGACAGTATGATCACATAGGTTCTGAAAACACTGTGTCCACTATGTAACATAACTAGTATTGTTACAAAAACTGACAGTATGATCACATAGGTTCTGAAAACACTGTGTCCACTATGTAACATAACTAGTATTGTTACAAAAACTGACAGTATGATCACATAGGTTCTGAAAACACTGTGTCCACTATGTAACATAACTAGTATTGTTACAAAAACTGACAGTATGATCACATAGGTTCTGAAAACACTGTGTCCACTATGTAACATAACTAGTATTGTTACAAAAACTGACAGTATGATCACATAGGTTCTGAAAACACTGTGTCCACTATGTAACATAACTAGTATTGTTACAAAAACTGACAGTATGATCACATAGGTTCTGAAAACACTGTGTCCACTATGTAACATAACTAGTATTGTTACAAAAACTGACAGTATGATCACATAGGTTCTGAAAACACTGTGTCCACTATGTAACATAACTAGTATTGTTACAAAAACTGACAGTATGATCACATAGGTTCTGAAAACACTGTGTCCACTATGTAACATAACTAGTATTGTTACAAAAACTGACAGTATGATCACATAGGTTCTGAAAACACTGTGTCCACTATGTAACATAACTAGTATTGTTACAAAAACTGACAGTATGATCACATAGGTTCTGAAAACACTGTGTCCACTATGTAACATAACTAGTATTGTTACAAAAACTGACAGTATGATCACATAGGTTCTGAAAACACTGTGTCCACCATGTAACATAACTAGTATTGTTACAAAAACTGACAGTATGATCACATAGGTTCTGAAAACACTGTGTCCACTATGTAACATAACTAGTATTGTTACAAAAACTGACAGTATGATCACATAGGTTCTGAAAACACTGTGTCCACTATGTAACATAACTAGTATTGTTACAAAAACTGACAGTATGATCAAATAGGTTCTGAAAACACTGTGTCCACCATGTAACATAACTAGTATTGTTACAAAAACTGACAGTATGATCACATAGGTTCTGAAAACACTGTGTCCACTATGTAACATAACTAGTATTGTTACAAAAACTGACAGTATGATCACATAGGTTCTGAAAACACTGTGTCCACTATGTAACATAACTAGTATTGTTACAAAAACTGACAGTATGATCACATAGGTTCTGAAAACACTGTGTCCACTATGTAACATAACTAGTATTGTTACAAAAACTGACAGTATGATCACATAGGTTCTGAAAACACTGTGTCCACTATGTAACATAACTAGTATTGTTACAAAAACTGACAGTATGATCACATAGGTTCTGAAAACACTGTGTCCACTATGTAACATAACTAGTATTGTTACAAAAACTGACAGTATGATCACATAGGTTCTGAAAACACTGTGTCCACCATGTAACATAACTAGTATTGTTACAAAAACTGACAGTATGATCACATAGGTTCTGAAAACACTGTGTCCACTATGTAACATAACTAGTATTGTTACAAAAACTGACAGTATGATCACATAGGTTCTGAAAACACTGTGTCCACTATGTAACATAACTAGTATTGTTACAAAAACTGACAGTATGATCACATAGGTTCTGAAAACACTGTGTCCACTATGTAACATAACTAGTATTGTTACAAAAACTGACAGTATGATCACATAGGTTCTGAAAACACTGTGTCCACTATGTAACATAACTAGTATTGTTACAAAAACTGACAGTATGATCACATAGGTTCTGAAAACACTGTGTCCACTATGTAACATAACTAGTATTGTTACAAAAACTGACAGTATGATCACATAGGTTCTGAAAACACTGTGTCCACTATGTAACATAACTAGTATTGTTACAAAAACTGACAGTATGATCACATAGGTTCTGAAAACACTGTGTCCACTATGTAACATAACTAGTATTGTTACAAAAACTGACAGTATGATCACATAGGTTCTGAAAACACTGTGTCCACTATGTAACATAACTAGTATTGTTACAAAAACTGACAGTATGATCACATAGGTTCTGAAAACACTGTGTCCACTATGTAACATAACTAGTATTGTTACAAAAACTGACAGTATGATCACATAGGTTCTGAAAACACTGTGTCCACTATGTAACATAACTAGTATTGTTACAAAAACTGACAGTATGATCACATAGGTTCTGAAAACACTGTGTCCACTATGTAACATAACTAGTATTGTTACAAAAACTGACAGTATGATCACATAGGTTCTGAAAACACTGTGTCCACTATGTAACATAACTAGTATTGTTACAAAAACTGACAGTATGATCACATAGGTTCTGAAAACACTGTGTCCACTATGTAACATAACTAGTATTATTACAAAAACTGACAGTATGATCACATAGGTTCTGAAAACACTGTGTCCACTATGTAACATAACTAGTATTGTTACAAAAACTGACAGTATGATCACATAGGTTCTGAAAACACTGTGTCCACTATGTAACATAACTAGTATTGTTACAAAAACTGACAGTATGATCACATAGGTTCTGAAAACACTGTGTCCACTATGTAACATAAGCTTCAACAAACATGAATGGGACACGGGTGGGATATCGTTGGGAAACTATCGGGACACAGTAACGACACAGATCCTACATTTCTCACATCAAACATCTGCTTGACATAGTCCTTCTTCAGATCTGCGTTAAGCTGCTTGAGAAGCTTCATCACTTCATCAAAGTCCAGAGCCCCATCGCCATTCCTGTCGGCCATGTTGAATGCTTCTCGCACCCATGTGCCAAGGTCAAGGTCAAATAAACATGGTTAAACTGTATACATATAACTCCTCCCAGTAACATCATAATTCAGCCATTCATCTTTCTCAAACTTGCCTGGGTGTAAACAAATGAAATTACCCACAAGGCACTATCACTAACCAGTCACATGACTTACTCATAATTCCGTAGAAACAAATCGGCAAAGGGGTCTATCACTTGGGTATCCATTCATCCCAAGAAGTATCAAGTTCAGTCATCACGTAACACCTGGTCACCAAGTGTACCAATACCACTTTGAACAAGAACGGGAGACGAGATAGTCTGACATATCCGTGTGGGGAAACACAATCTCCCGTCTAGAGTTCCAGTAGCAGCACATCTGTTGCAGATGCGGAGCTGGCCATCTTCCCGAGGCAAGGCAGTTAACTGACTATAACATTCCAGTTTCCACCCTTGCTGAACTATACCGAGATTATGGAGTTACATTTTGGCTGGACTAATGAGTCTATGCATAGTCCAATCAAAATCGTGTAACGAAATACATCGGGTTCGTAAACTGCCATCCAGATAATGGTGGATTGCAGGATTTGCAAAGTATGTGTACTGCCAACTCAGCATCAACAGATATTTCCCAAAATATTTTCATGTTTTTAGTCAAGGTGCACACCTGATTTGATGCACTTCGCAAAGTAAGATCGGTTTTTATCACAAATTGTTTATTTAACCAATTTTGATTATCCATCAGATTGTCCCGACAGGGCACTACGATTCGAGGCCAGAAATTCCAGCCTAGTTTGGAAAGGGTGGAAACTGGACTTTTATAGTCAGTTTTAAAACTCCCTTGCCTCGGGAAGATGGGAGCTGGCAACCTCTGGCATACTTGGAACGTATTTGTCACAGCCCAGACATATTCCAAAAGTGCCAAAATATGGACATTTTTTTGGTCCATCATCTATCATGCACTGAGCCATTAGTGATGTCGTTTGATTGTGACATCTTGATAACCGATGATGTCACAATGGTCTCCTAGTTGAGATTGCTAGACCTCAGCAAAGCAATATCTCATGGAAGCTATATTGGGATAAGAAAGAACCGGAAAACACATCTTTTTTGAAAGTCTGCCGAAATTTCAAGTATATCCAATCATGTACCATTGATGACCATCAACAAGCATCAGTGAGCAGCCATTGGCATAGTTTCAGAGACTTATATTGATTTTCTTCAGTTATTAGCTGGAACAGAGCGGGTACAGCTAAACTTACAGGAGGGTAGAATAAATATGTTTTATTTACCAGGTACTGTTGCACCCAGGCAGGCCAAAATGAGTACCCCCATATCTGACTTCAGGGACACATTCCACAAATGTGACCAATTAGCGCGACCTCTTAGCACGACCTCTTAGCACTATGTCTGCCACAAATCTATGTTAAAGTATGGGAGTTACAATCATCTTAGCTCTAAAATCGCTTTGTGGAACATGGCCTACTTGCAGAAAGTAATCTTAGCGCTACGACTCTAAAGTCTATGTTAAAGTATGGGAGTTGCAATCATCTTAGCGCAAAGACTGCTTTGTAGACCAGACCCAGGTTGGTTAAACATAAGGCCTTGTGAGTCAAGGGTCTCAGTGTCAGAGATTGTTTATGAACACATTACTCAAGCACTAATGATTAATTCAAGGATATCTGTCTGTCTCGTTGCGCTGCTCGGCCAGCTTGTCCTTCTGAATGGCGTAGCGCAGACCACGCAGCCACATGTCACGGATCTCTTGCCGCTGGGCCATCAGGTACACCACCTTGTGATTGGCCCCCATCACCACTGCCAGGCACAGGCTTTTCTGGAAAGTCAATGATTAGACCTGATAAGTTGATCAGTACATCATCTATAATATTAATTAGGACATTTCTAAAGGCAACTGATGTGTGTCATAAGTAGAACATCTACAAGATCAGTCAAGACACTGATGTTTGTGATCAGTAGAACATCTACAAAATCAGTCAAGATGATGTCTGTCATCAGTAGAACATCTACAAGATCAGTCAAGACGATGTCTGTCATCAGTAGAACATCTACAAGATCAGTCAAGACACTGATGTCTGTCATCAGTAGAACATCTACAAGATCAGTCAAGATGATGTCTGTCATCAGTAGAACATCTACAAGATCAGTCAAGACACTGATGTCTGTCATCAGTAGAACATCTACAAGATCAGTCAAGACGATGTCTGTCATCAGTAGAACATTTACAAGATATGTCAAGACACAGATGTCTGTCATCAGTAGAACATCTACAAGATCAGTCAAGACACAGATGTCTGTCATCAGTAGAACATCTACAAGATCAGTCAAGACACAGATGTCCGTCATCAGTAGAACATCTACAAGATCAGTCAAGATGATGTCTGTCATCAGTAGAACATCTACAAGATCAGTCAAGATGATGTCTGTCATCAGTATAACATCTACAAGATCAGTCAAGACCATGTCTGTCATCAGTAGAACATCTACAAGATCAGTCAAGACAATGTCTGTCATCAGTAGAACATCTACAAGATCAGTCAAGACCATGTCTGTCATCAGTAGAACATCTACAAGATCAGTCAAGACACTGATGTCTGTCATCAGTAGAACATCTACAAGATCAGTCAAGACACTGATGTCTGTCATCAGTAGAACATCTACAAAATCAGTCAAGACACTGATGTCTGTCATCAGTAGAACATCTACAAGATCAGTCAAGACGATGTCTGTCATCAGTAGAACATCTACAAGATCAGTCAAGACACAGATGTCTGTCATCAGTAGAACATCTACAAGATCAGTCAAGACGATGTCTGTCATCAGTAGAACATCTACAAGATCAGTCAAGACACTGATGTCTGTCATCAGTAGAACATCTACAAGATCAGTCAAGACACTGATGTCTGTCATCAGTAGAACATCTACAAGATCAGTCAAGACCATGTCTGTCATCAGTAGAACATCTACAAGATCAGTCAAGACACTGATGTCTGTCATCAGTAGAACATCTACAAGATCAGTCAAGACGATGTCTGTCATCAGTAGAACATCTACAAGATCAGTCAAGACACAGATGTCTGTCATCAGTAGAACATCTACAAGATCAGTCAAGGCACAGATATCTGTCATCAGTAGAACATCTACAAGATCAGTCAAGACCATGTCTGTCATCAGTAGAACATCTACAAGATCAGTCAAGACACTGATGTCTGTCATCAGTAGAACATCTACAAGATCAGTCAAGACACTGATGTCTGTCATCAGTAGAACATCTACAAGATCAGTCAAGACACTGATGTCTGTCATCAGTAGAACATCTACAAGATCAGTCAAGACACTGATGTCTGTCATCAGTAGAACATCTACAAGATCAGTCAAGACACTGATGTCTGTCATCAGTAGAACATCTACAAGATCAGTCAAGACGATGTCTGTCATCAGTAGAACATCTACAAGATCAGTCAAGACACAGATGTCTGTCATCAGTAGAACATCTACAAGATCAGTCAAGACACTGATGTCTGTCATCAGTAGAACATTTACAAGATCAGTCAAGACGATGTCTGTCATCAGTAGAACATCTACAAGATCAGTCAAGACACTGATGTCTGTCATCAGTAGAACATCTACAAGATCGGTCAAGACAATGTCTGTCATCAGTAGAACATCTACAAGATCAGTCAAGACGATGTCTGTCATCAGTAGAACATCTACAAGATCAGTCAAGACCATGTCTGTCATCAGTAGAACATCTACAAGATCAGTCAAGACAATGTCTGTCATCAGTAGAACATCTACAAGATCAGTCAAGACGATGTCTGTCATCAGTAGAACATCTACAAGATCAGTCAAGACAATGTCTGTCATCAGTAGAACATCTACAAGATCAGTCAAGACGATGTCTGTCATCAGTAGAACATCTACAAGATCAGTCAAGACAATGTCTGTCATCAGTAGAACATCTACAAGATCAGTCAAGACGATGTCTGTCATCAGTAGAACATCTACAAGATCAGTCAAGACGATGTCTGTCATCAGTAGAACATCTACAAGATCAGTCAAGACGATGTCTGTCATCAGTAGAACATCTACAAGATCAGTCAAGACGATGTCTGTCATCAGTAGAACATTTACAAGATCAGTCAAGACGATGTCTGTCATCAGTAGAACATCTACAAGATCAGTCAAGACACTGATGTCTGTCATCAGTAGAACATCTACAAGATCAGTCAAGACACTGTGTATACACTTCTAATGGTGATTGATAGACAGACAGATCATCTAAAATGTTTAATTCATTGCTGAAATTTCCATAAACCCAGGAAAATATATACTAGTATGGTTCTATTTAAATGGTACTGATATTAGATCATAAAATAAGACTTCCTCACATTATCAAACCTGCAGGACAGAGTGCATAAAGAATAGTTTTTGCTTATTACATGGTTGAAGGGAATTGTAATCAGATTACAACACAGTAAGGTATCATCATACTATTCCTGGTTGCAGTGCATCTACAATTACAAGGTATAATAAAATTGGGCCATATTCAAATGCAGAATCATTAAATCAACAAATAGTTAAGGGCCAATAACGGACAGGAAATGATCAATTTGCGGATGGATCTGTGTGTGCTGTGCTTACATCAAGTCCCTGGAGCTTCTTAGAGTAGTCTTTCTCTCCTTCTCGGACCTCACGAATCTTCGATATCCGGACTGCAACATAAACATTGTTAATACAAAACCAGGACTACATTATCTAAGATCCATTGAACTTTAGCGTGCTGAAACTGATTATTTATATCTGATTTTATATTGCTTCCACTCAAGAACAGGTCAGTTCAAGAAAGGTTTGGTTCAAAGATATAGATTTTCAAATAAGTGGCTTTAACATGTGTTACAAGAGATTCGGTGGCTTTGTTGACTCAAGCTGAAACGTGCAGAATGAATGTCATTGTTTGCAAAATAATGTCTGCCTTCACAGATGGTTCAACGAATGAAGGAATTCTAGCCAGCAATACTACAGCAATATTTAAGTCGGGCCTGTATAGACAGCAGTTCTTCATATATCCTGGGGATCACACATGCATGTACTTTTGTTTGTTGTTGAACTTTGAACTCAGAGATATTCCAGCTATTTGACAGCGGTCAGTAAACAATCGAGTCTGGACCAGACAATCTAGTGATTGACATCATGAGCATTGATCTATGTAATTGGGATACGATGACATGACTCAATCAAGTCGGCGAACCTGACCACTCGATCCCGTTAGTCACCTCTTTGACAAGCATAATTGCCTCTTACGGCAAGCATGGGTTGCTGAGGACCTTTTCTACCCCGGATCTTCACGGGTACAATCAGACAAGTTTCATAGTGGGACTATCTGATGTATCTATATATCTTGGTTGCCTGTTACTGCAGACATGAGCTGCTGTGGACCAATTCTATCCTGGATTCCCCACAGGGTTAAGGGACAAATGTATAACAGTCATAGATGGAACTTGCCTCATAGTCAGGGGCTTGAGATACAGCGAGATAACACAGTATTGATGTACTTGAGAGAGACGAAGCATATGCTTCCTTTAATTACCAGATTCAGTGGCAGTATAACATCCATAAATTCAGAAGGCCCTATTGTTGACAGAATATCAAATAACCATTAAATATATACATGGAAGAGACTTGGAAGAGAGGGATATTGACAAAACCATTAGCAATTTATTCTGACACATTGAAAGATGGTGTTCATACGATAGTTGCATTGTCAGTTGGACAAAGTGGGACAATCCTAACTCAATCTAGATACTGTCAACTGTAGACTTGCACAAGTCTCTAAGGCAATAATTATTAAGTTAAAGCATAATTTCTAGATTATATAAATAATAAGAACAAACTGTCCCTACAAGAGACTGGAGACCCTACTGTCCACATATCTAGACTTGCCTATCAGGAGGATAGAATTACTACACATCCAGGGACTTATCTTTCAGTACAGCCTTGGAGCAAGGCTATATTCACAGCTGAATGATGAGTATGATACTGAATGATACTAGGTTGGGACAATATACAATGATATGTCACGACACAAATGATTCTAGGTTGGGACAATATACAATGATATGTCACGACACAAATGATTCTAGGTTGGGACAATATACAATGATATGTCACGACACAAATGATTCTAGGTTGGGACAATATACAATGATATGTCACGACACAAATGATTCTAGGTTGGGACAATATACAATGACATGTCACTACACAAATGATTCCAAGTTGGGGCAATATACAATGACATGTCACGACACAAATGATTCCAAGTTGGGACAATATACAATGATATGTCACTACACAAATGATTCCAAGTTGGGACAATATACAATGATATGTCACTACACAAATGATTCCAAGTTGGGACAATATACAATGATATGTCACTACACAAATGATTCCAAGTTGGGACAATATACAATGATATGTCACGACACAAATGATTCCAAGTTGGGACAATATACAATGATATGTCACGACACAAATGATTCCAAGTTGGGACAATATACAATGATATGTCACTACACAAATGATTCCAAGTTGGGACAATATACAATGATATGTCACGACACAAATGATTCCAAGTTGGGACAATATACAATGATATGTCACGACACAAATGATTCCAAGTTGGGACAATATACAATGATTTGTCACGACACAAATGATTCCAAGTTGGGACAATATACAATGATATGTCACGACACAAATGATTCCAAGTTGGGACAATATACAATGATATGTCATGACACAACTGATTCCAGGTTGGGACAATATACAATGATATGTCACGACACAAATGATTCCAAGTTGGGACAATATACAATGATATGTCACTTCACAAATGATTCCAAGTTGGGACAATATACAATGACATGTCACGACACAAATGATTCCAAGTTGGGACAATATACAATGATATGTCACGACACAAATGATTCCAAGTTGGGACAATATACAATGATATGTCACTATACAAATGATTCCAAGTTGGGACAATATACAATGATATGTCACGACACAAATGATTCTAGGTTGGGACAATATACAATGATATGTCACGACACAAAAGCCTGATGTTTTAAACACACATAATAAGAACTGCACTGCATACGTTTTGCCAGGGCTATGATAAAAAAGTTCCCCATCGGACATTTTGAGACATCTCCTGATGCCTACAGTTGGTACCCGGGTAGGGTAAGGTAATAGGGGGGCAGGTACCCGGGTAGGGTAGGGTAATAGGGGGGCGGGTACCCGGGTAGTAAATTTGGACTCGTCCCAGCCCTACTATCAACCCTTTCATGTTTTTGAAAAACTGCAGAGAAAAATTAAAGATTATTGTTTAATAAAAGATTTTTTATATTGTTTTAATATATCAAAGAGGTTTTATTCCCTTCAAAACAGCAACAAGTGAGTGTGACTGTAACACTCATATACACTGTATTACAATTGGACTCCAACAGAACCAGAGTTTCAGTTGTCCTGATGCTTATGTGCAAATATGAAATCATTCTAGAGAGGCGCGAGTTGCCATTTGGCTGGTGCCAGAATGACAAGACTTGATCTCAAGTGAGGCAGATGCAAATTTCAAAAAGGGTGCGCACTACAACCAGGTCCCATCGTGAACAACAACAAAACCTGACACAGCGGCATGACGGGCGTGGTGGTGTTACATTGCAGGGTGTTTTATTGTCTAACAATGATTGTAGCTGTGTTGCATTGGTTCTGTTGAGGTTCGGTAGACGCTCATTGCATTTGGGCAGTGATTAGTTGTCAGGAATGTAGTACTATTTAACAGGAGCAGCTGTCAGGAAGTTTCTGTATTTAGATGCTAGTGTGGTGTGTAGACATCCGGTCACCAAAATAACAACAACAAAACAAAAATCACCTGTCAAAGGTGACCGACCTTCAGATGTACCCTTGTTTCTTGTCATCAGTATACCGTATTTTCTTGAGTATAGTGCGCACCCATGTATAATGCGCACCCCCCTCTAGCAGGTTCAATATTTTGGAAAAAAAGAAATTTGAATATTATGCGCAGAAATTTTTTACACCGTACCCTTTCAGCGAAGTCCGGCAAACGAACGGGTGCTGAGAAACTTCGTCAGTACAAATTCGAAATTTGAGATAAAAAATCACCAGACATGTTTATTTACCGTTTAAATAGTATTTATTGTTCTGCTAGACATTGTTTTATATTTAGGGATTAAGATTACCTTGCGTATTTTCTCGTAAACTAAGCTGGAAACAGCAATCAGCTGTACACACGTTTTCTTGGAATCGACCGGTGATTCGGTCAAGACACACCCAATGATATAACTTTATAAGATTTTTAATGCAAGGATCGGCAACAATTGTATCTGAAACTATTTTATTTATCGGGAATAATATATTCCATTATTTTCTTAATTATATGCAACCTTTAATAAACATATTTAAAATAATAATAACCCTAAGCGAAGCAGCTGATCGCTATTCCCGGGCATTATTTTTTACATGGAACATGTCTGACCAGTCACCGTCAAGGCTCACGCGCACATAGAATCGTCAAACAAAAACAAACATGACTTTTAACGAGTCAAAGTATGTCATTTATGATATATGTATCCATTCTCTGTCAACTAAAGTTTGTTTCAAGGCGTCAATAGCGGTATTCTGACCGTGGTTGCTGTTAATAACGGTGAGTTGTGCGATTTTCCGATCGCTTCACACACGATTTCGCCGAAATTAATAAAAACAATATTATCAGATTATAAGGAATTTTGAATAAAATCAATGAAATAAGTTACAAACATAAGTCCTGATATACAAAGAACACTTTTTATAGCCAGACAGTGTAATTACATAATTATTTTGCGTACTTCAGTATGGATTTGTTGACATGGTATTCCCGGTGTTTCGTGCTCACGGTAATGTCTTTCCATGGGGGAAAAAAACATCCAAGCTCATAATTCGTGTATTATGTGCACCCCCTTCTACACAGCTGTGTTTTTTCGAAAAAAAGTGTGCACTATACTCAAGAAAATACGGTATATACTTCACCAAAGATACAAATGTTGTCGTTTTGTTGTTCTTCTCGTAATTCAAGTAGATCTATCAATCAGTGTTTGTGTTTGTTTTCAGGTAGTTATACTCAAGGACAAACCTACTTTCTTACTGGATTAAATCTGGCCAGCTTTGAAGTGAGAGACATTTCAAGAAATTGATTGGTTTTGAAATGTCACAAGAACATGAAGCAGAAATGTTGCACAGTTTATCAAATTTCATCTTACCTCCTGCTGAACTTTGAATAGCAACATGATGCAGTGAGGGAGGTCTTATGCCACTATGAACTGTATATATGGAACCTGAGAGGGGACGCATAGGGGGGTGCAAAGGGTGGATGCAGAGGGGGGTGCAGAGGGGGAAATGTAGAGGGGTTGGAGAGGGGGTGGAGAGGGGGGTGCAGAGGGGGGTGCAGAGGGGGGAATGTAGAGGGGGTGGAGAGGGGGTGGAGTGGGGGTGGAGAGGAGGGAAGCAGAGGAGTCGGAGAAGGGGGTGCAGAGGGGGGAATGTAGAGGGGGTGGAGAGGGGGTGGAGTGGGGGTGGAGAGGAGGGAAGCAGAGGAGGTGGAGAAGGGGGTGCAGAGGGGGGAATGTAGAGGGGGTGGAGAGGGGGTGGAGTGGGGGTGGAGAGGAGGGAAGCAGAGGAGGTGGAGAGGGGGGATGCAGAAGGGGGAATGTAGAGGGGTTGGAGAGGGGGGTGGAGAAGGGGGGTGCAGAGGGGGGGTTGGAAAAGGGGGAATGTAGAGGGGGTGGAGAAGGGGGGTAGGAAAAGGGGGGTGCAGAAGGGGGTGCAGAGGGGGGATGGAGAAGGAGGAATGTAGAGGGGGTGGAAAAGGGGGTCGGAGAGGGGGGATGCAGAAGGAGGAATGTAGAGGGGGTGGAGAAGGGGGGTGGAAAAGGGGGGTGCAGAAGGGGGGTGGAGAGGGGTGGAGAAGGGGGGTGGAAAAGGGGGGTGGAGAGGAGGGATGCAGAAGGAGGAATGTAGAGGGGGTGGAAAAGGGGGGTGGAGAGGAGGGATGCAGAAGGAGGAATGTAGAGGGGTGGAAAAGGGGGGTGGAAAAGGGGGAATGCAGAGGGGTGGAGAGGGGTGGAGAGGGGTGAGATGGAGAGGGGGGATGCAGAGGGGGTGGAGAGGGGGTGTAGCGGGTTGGAGGTGGGGAACGTGATTGTCAGGATGTTTTCTGTCCCATCCCAACTGTCAGTTTGAAAGAGATATTGTTAAAACGAATGCAAAAGAAAACTATAACAAATAATAAATGTCAATTGAATTCTTTACTTCTTCTTCTTCTTGTTATTAGTAATGACAGTTACAATTTTGATACATACATGAACTAACTGCAAGTCATACTCTATTTTTAATGCTTGTCAGTTTTGACAGTTAGATAATTAATTTCTACAAATTCTATTTAATCTACTTGAAAAGAATAATTACAATGGGCAAAGGCAGAGCCAATAATGCTGCACGGTAATTATTATAATAAAAACTGTAAAATACTTCTATCGAATCATTATAAAATTTCTAAAATCTCACTGGGCCAAAAACTTCAACTTACGTTGAGTCTGTTGAGTCAACTCATTTGGAATGAGATTATGATATTCATGGTGACGTAACATCCGGAAATACATGTAGCAGAAAGACGCCAAAAGTTAGAGTGAGAAGAATGCGATTAAACACCAAATATATGATGTGACAGTAATTAGGATGGATATAATCTACTCAATAACATGTCCAGGAAGGTGTTTATGTAAGTATTTTGGAATAACTATATTTACTTTAGTGGATTTAGAGCATGAAACAATTTCGGAATGAACTACCCAACTTTCGATGACGTAAGCGCCAGTCGATCGCGGGACTATTTGAGCCGATCACTGGAGCTAACTATTACTGTTAAATATTAGATGAAACATTTAATTGATCTTATACCTCAATATAAGACAATTTTCAGCAGATCTGGCAAAGCGAACTTCTCGCAAGTTAAAAAATGTTATATTATGCTTGTTTTAAAACTTATGTTAAATGTGAACCTTATATATCATTCTTGAATTCGCAAAATATGAAAACAACCCTCACGAGATTCAGGCTGAGTTGTCATACTTGGAAATTGAGAATGGACGTCATTATAAAATTCCAAGAAATTTAAGAAAATGCAAACTTTGTAAATTAGACTGTGTTGAAACCGAGTACCACTTCCTGCTTATTTGTCCATCGTATGTCAAGTTACGGCAACTATATCTCAAAGCAAAGTTCTATTGTCATCCTAACATTCATAAATTTAACATGCTTCTGTCATCACCAGATACATATATTATTACAAATCTAGCAAAATATCTATATTATGCAAATGAAGTAAGAAATGCGATACTGAATGTTTAAAACTTGTCTGTACTCAACTTTTGTACACAAAGGCCTGTGGCCTGTATGTATTGGAAATAAAATGATTGATTGATACCTACAATATACAGCTTTAGATGCAGAGGGGGGTGCAGAGGGGGGATGCAGAGGGGGGATGCAGAGGGGGGGGTGCAGAGGGGGGATGTAGAGGGAGGGTGCAGAGGGGGGATGTAGAGGGAGGGTGCAGAGGGGGGATGCAGAGGGGGGATGCAGAAAGGAGTGGAGAGGGGGATGCAGAGGGGGTGCAGAGAGGAGTGGAGAGGGGGATGCAGAGGGGGTGCAGAGGGGAGTGGAGAGGGGGATGCAGAGGGGGGTGCAGAGAGGGGTGGAGAGGGGGTGCAGAGGGGGGATGTAGAGAGGAGTGGAGAGGGGGATGCAGAGGGGGTGCAGAGGGGGGATGCAGAGGGGGGATGTAGAGGGAGGGTGCAGAGGGGGGATGCAGAGGGGGGATGCAGAGAGGAGTGGAGAGGGGGATGCAGAGGGGGTGCAGAGAGGAGTGGAGAGGGGGATGCAGAGGGGGTGCAGAGGGGAGTGGAGAGGGGGATGCAGAGGGGGGTGCAGAGAGGGGTGGAGAGGGGGTGCAGAGGGGGGATGTAGAGAGGAGTGGAGAGGGGGATGCAGAGGGGGTGCAGAGGGGGGATGCAGAGGGGGGATGTAGAGGGAGGGTGCAGAGGGGGGATGCAGAGGGGGGATGCAGAGAGGAGTGGAGAGGGGGATGCAGAGGGGGTGCAGAGAGGAGTGGAGAGGGGGATGCAGAGGGGGTGCAGAGGGGAGTGGAGAGGGGGATGCAGAGGGGGGTGCAGAGAGGAGTGGAGAGGGGGATGCAGAGGGGGGTGCAGAGGGGAGTGGAGAGGGGATGCAGAGGGGGTGCAGAGGGGGATGCAGAGGGGGGTGCAGAGGGGAGTGGAGAGGGGGATGCAGAGGGGGGATGCAGAGGGGGGTGCAGAGGGGGGATGCAGAGGGGGGTGCAGAGGGGGGTGCAGAGGGGGGTGCAGAGGGGGGATGCAGAGGGGGGATGTAGAGAGGAGTGGAGAGGGGGATGCAGAGGGGGGATGTAGAGAGGAGTGGAGAGGGGGATGCAGAGGGGGTGCAGAGGGGAGTGGAGAGGGGGATGCAGAGGGGGGTGCAGAGGGGAGTGGAGAGGGGGATGCAGAGGGGGGATGCAGAGGGGGGTGCAGAGGGGGGATGCAGAGGGGGGATGCAGAGGGGGGATGTAGAGGGAGGGTGCAGAGGGGGGATGCAGAGGGGGGATGTAGAGAGGAGTGGAGAGGGGGATGCAGAGGGGGTGCAGAGGGGGGATGCAGAGGGGGGATGCAGAGGGGGGATGTAGAGGGAGGGTGCAGAGGGGGGATGCAGAGGGGGGATGCAGAGGGGGGATGCAGAGGGGGATGTAGAGAGGAGTGGAGAGGGGGATGCAGAGGGGGTGCAGAGGGGAGTGGAGAGGGGAGTGGAGAGGGGGATGCAGAGGGGGGTGCAGAGGGGAGTGGAGAGGGGGATGCAGAGGGGGGTGCAGAGGGGAGTGGAGAGGGGGATGCAGAGGGGGGTGCAGAGGGGAGTGGAGAGGGGGATGCAGAGGGGGGTGCAGAGGGGAGTGGAGAGGGGGATGCAGAGGGGGTGCAGAGAGGAGTGGAGAGGAGTGGAGAGGGGGATGCAGAGGGGATGCAGAGGGGGTGCAGAGGGGAGTGGAGAGGGGATGCAGAGGGGGGTGCAGAGGGGAGTGGAGAGGGGGATGCAGCGGGGGTGCAGAGGGGGGATGCAGAGGGGGGTGCAGAGGGGGGATGCAGAGGGGGGATGTAGAGAGGAGTGGAGAGGGGGATGCAGAGGGGGTATGCAGAGGGGGGGATGTAGAGGGAGGGTGCAAAGGGAGGGTGCAGAGGGGGGATGTAGAGAGGGTGCAGAGGGAGGGTGCAGAGGGGGGTGCAGAGGGGGTGCAGAGGGGGGTGCAGAAGGGGGATGTAGAGGGAGGGTGCAAAGGGAGGGTGCAGAGGGGGGATGCAGAGGGGGGATGCAGAGGGGGGTGCAGAGGGGGGATGTAGAGGGAGGGTGCAGAGGGGGGATGCAGAGGGGGGTGGAGAGGGGGATGCAGAGGGGGGATGCAGAGGGGGGATGCAGAGAGGGGTGGAGAGGGGGATGCAGAGGGGGATGCAGAGGGGGTGCAGAGGGGGGATGTAGAGGGAGGGTGCAGAGGGAGGGTGCAGAGGGGGGATGCAGAGGGGGGATGGAGGTAGGGGATGCAGGGATGTCCACTCCCCTTTTGAAGCATACATTTTAACATATATAAAACATGTTACTGCATCAATTGGTGACACTGACAAAAGATAATGAACTATTTTTTTACTAATTTGTTAATTATTTGCATTGATCAATCATTTTCTTAATTTGAAGTAACACAGCTGTGCTTATTTCAAATCATTGGTTGAACTGTGTAGTTGAAAAAACTGACAGACAGATCACTTACTTTCATTCTTTGGCTCTCTCAGTTTTTTCTGTGAGCCCTCATAATGGACAATCATGTTCCGGTGGTCCAGGAAGAACTTGCGCTGCAGCAGCTTGGTGGGCGACTTGACCTTGGACAACACCTGACCTTTACTCAGCTCTTCCAGCAGACGGTCCACTGGACAAACAAAGGGAGATAACTATAAGTACAAACATGGCTTCAAAACAATTGGCCATGAAATTTAGCTCACATTTTATCTCTAATATGATGAAAACATTGTTAGATTTGTTTTATTTAAATTGTCATAAGATATGATAGATACCAGCTCAAAGAATCACCTCATATTGAGCCAAAAACAGTCCCTGCGAGTTTAAATCCGATCTTTCAAACACAGTTTGCTTGTTGGTCTGTTTGTTGTTTTGTAGCGCCCCACTCAGCAATATTCCAGCTATATGACAGCGGTCGGTAAATAATCGAGTCTGGGCCAGACGATCAAGTGACTGACATCATGAGCATCAATCCACACAATTGGGTTACGATGACATGTACCAACCAAGTCAGCGAGGCTGCCCACCAAATCTGGTTAGTCGCCTCTTACGATATGTATAGTCGCCTCTTACAGCAAGCATGGGTTGCTGAAGACCTATTCCACCCCGCATCGTCACGGGTACTTGGTTTGTTTTCTACCTTATATTTAATGATGTAGACCAATCTAAGTTTTCTTAGTTTGACACATAGCACCAGTTACAATGTCTAGAAATAGTCTGGAATTGGTCATCAAAGCTTGATGCAGAGTCTCTCTTTAAATTTGGTCTGTCAAAAAAATATCCAATGTCTTCAGTCTGTGATCTGATAGCTTGTTGTTGACACAAAGAAAAACATTCACCACATTTTGAAATGAGTATCTGTGAACCACCTCCACAAGTTCTTGTGATTTGATCCTGTTTGTTTCAACTGACCGTTTGACAATAGTCAGTGTGTAAGTTTCTACTTGACATGATGGTAGACAAGCAGGCTTACAATACACTGAAGGAACATTCCAATGTCTTTGAATCTTTAATGATTCCTATTCATTCCAGCATCTGCATTGGAGCATTCAGATGTAACAAAACAGAAACTATTAAATATGCAGTGATGTTACAAATGAGTTTAGATACATAACGATTTTCTTCAGTTTGTCTATAACAGGTTTCACTCCACCCAAAGCAATATTCCAGCTATATGACAGCGGCCTGTAAATAATCTAGTCTGGGCCAGACCATCTGGTGATCGATATTGTGCCGAATGATCCATGTCGTCGAGGATACAATGACACGACTCATCAATTCACCGAGCCTGACCCTGATCCACTTAGTCGCCTCATACGACCAGCACTGGTTGCTGTGGACCAATACTCAACTGGAATTGACATGGGGACGATATTTGTCCCCACACACTCTAGACACAGTGTTCTCACTGGCTTTTGAAACTGCCAGACTTGAAGGACTGTCAACTCTAAAAATTACCAATCCCCCAATGTTTGTCAGTTCCAACTTCAACAAATACAAAAATGTGTGAAAATTACCTAGTTTTAATTCTTTCAACATCATGTTCAATGCAATGATGTTATCTCTGAAATAACCTTGTTAGATCTACACGTCATTCACCCAAAGTTCAGTCACAAGTTTGTTTTTGGTTTTTAGTTTTTTCTAGGCAAAGCCGCTACCAATATATATTTAACCTCGCAGGAAATTGTTATTTCCTTGCACTACAAACCGACAAGGGAAGCTCTGATGGTAAAAGACAAGCTGACTTTATTCCAAAAAAATATACTTATATGAATATCACCGATGTTTTGTTCAACAGCATAGATTTCTAAGTTACTTTATTATATTTTACATAGAAAAACATAGACACTTTTTGTCACAGTGTTTTGATGTATGTACCAGACAAGAACGTCAACTTGATATCTCACTCGCCAAGCACCTCCAGATATAGTTCTAATTCCCAGTTCACGAAACAATCCCAGCATCATGACATGACAATCTACAGCTCCCAGTTGAATACATTAAAACCTACCACATGAAACAGACCCCACGATGTATATACTGAATACATCATGAAATGAGATTACCCTAACAACATTCAATAGTAAAATGTCTAAAGAATAATATAACAATTTGACAATAAAACAAATTTCACTTTCACTGAAGTCAATGGCTGACAGCCAATATTACAACTGCAATAATAAAGAGCAAACATTTATCTTTCTGAACTTTATGCAAATAAATGGAAAAAAAGAAAATGAACATTACAGTTCTACCAAAATGGCATTCCAACTCCTGTTTGCACCCACCCAGTGATCAATCAATTCCAACAATACTTCTGCCCTGTGGCGTGGTGATCAAATGAAGAAAGCTGTTTCATATCAATTGAAAACTCAACTACATCATTATTTCGTTATCGGCCATCTCACCCATTGACAAATACTACTTCCCTATCAATATATCTTTAGCCTCTTATCGATTCCCTATCCATACATCTCCATCGGTGTCCACATACCACTGTTGCAGCTGATTGATCAACACAAGCAAGAACCACTTAGCAAACTACTGGACTAAAAAACACACAATGTTTGTTTGGTGAACTTGAACAGTGCAGCTTAATGAAGTCATCTTTTTACATATTGTATTGTTTACTTACCTTTTACTTACAAATACTTTACAGCAAGTTGAAAAAACAACAACATATTTTATGTATGAAATATTCTTTGCTTTGTCTCACTTCATATTGCTGTGTAGGTCCATTCAGTGAAAGAAAAATGTATCAAACAGACTCTTTATCAGAGTAACATTAATACTTTTATAAGTTTTCTTGGTAATGGTTAATAATTTGTAAACATATTACAACAACTATCTTGACTGGTGATTTGTTTTTAGAAATGATAACACTTAAACCCAGTTGTATGATAACCTGTGATCACACACAGTCCTGCTTTTACAACAAGAGTGGTATCAAACCTCACTCACTCACTCAGCCACTCACTCCATCCAACAAGGAAAACCCACCAAGATGTCAATCAACCAAACACCCATCCATTAAACACAAACTCACTCTATCCCTCACTCACTCACTCACTCAGATTAACCAGTGGAGATTGATGCTAAATTGGCTATCAAACATGCCTACAGTGAGGTTGACATAGGCCCAGGATGCAGGCCTCACTGGTCAGTTCTAATTACCGGTCAAGTCCTGGACACTGCATTAATGTCCTGTGTCAAACTGTGCCATTGTCTCTGTATAATTAGCGAAACTAATCAAAGCTAGATAATAAACCTTGGCACTACCAGACCAGTGTCTGACGGCCCCCAGGCCGACCCTGGTCATGTAACTGTGTGGTGTGCGTGTTGGACGAGGCTTAGTTCCAGTTTGGGTAAAAACTGAATCAAAGAACCATCATTACTTCATTACTTCCAAATTTGTTATACAAAAATCTATTGTGGGTGACTCAACCTAAAAAAGGACAAGAATCCGTACTTTACGAAGAAAGTGTTATCCCAAATATAACATTTGCTACATTTGACCACTTTCTAAATAGCATTGTATATTCAAGACACCAAGCCAAAGTGTTTTCCTGACAACAGGTGATGTCTGCATATCATTGGAAGAAATCACAACAGGAGACAAATGATATTTCTTAAAGGAGGTTTTTCACTTAATGTTCTGGGAATGACTAATACCGTATTTTCTTAAGTATAGTGCGCAAAAAATAACACCGCACCCCTTCAGTGAATCCCCGGAGACGATGATAAGAAACTTGGTCAGTACAAATTTGAAATTTGAGATAAAAAATCACCAGACATGTCAATTTACTGTTGAAAATGTATTTTTTGTTCTGCTTGGCATTGTTTTACATCAGGGATTAAGATTACCTTGTGTATTTTCTCGTAAACTAAGCTGGAAACAGCAATCAGCTGTACACACGTTTTCTTGGAATCTACCGGTGAATCGGTTAAAACTTACCCAATGATATAACTTTACATGATTTTGATTCAATGATCGGGAAAAAAGTTATCTGAAACTATTTGTTTATCAGAAATAATATATTCCAATATCTTGTTATTTTAGTTGCAGCTTTTACTAAATTTATTTAAAATAATAATAACCCTAAGCGTAGAACTTCGGTGCAGCTGATCGCTATTGCCGGTTATTTTTTTCACATGTGACACTTTGACCAGTCACCATCGAGGCTCCCATGCACGTGATCGTGAGAACTACGTGTTGACATAGAATCATCAAACTACAAAAATTATGACTTTTAACGAGTCAAAGTATGGCATTTATGATATATGTATCCATTCTCTGTCAACTAAATTTTGTTTCAAGACGTCAATATTGGTAATCTGACTGTGGTTGCTGTTAATAACGATGAGTTGTGCGATCATCCGATCGCTTCACACACAATTTCGAGGAAATTAGTTAAAATGATATTAAAAGGAATTTTGAATAAGATCAATGAAATAAGTTACATACATAAGTCCAGATATACAAAGAACACTTTTTATAGCCTGACAGTGTAAATAGTTGATTAATTTGCGTTCTTCTGTATGGAATTGTTGACATGGTATTTCCGGTCCTATGTCTTTGCAGTGGAGGGGGGAGGGAAATCAAAACTCATTATGGTATGTATAATGCGCACAGCCTTCTACACAGCTGTGGGTTGTTTTTTTAAAAAGTGTGCACTATACTAAAGAAAACGGGTAATTTGATTTGGTGAGACACCTTAGACTGATGTGATAGAAAATAAGCTTGACAGGAAGTTACTCAAAAAGTGATCTATTTCTTTAATTTTACATTTAGGGAGTTTTGAGATGTGCATTTGGAACACAGCCAAGAGGGTTTGTAAAAAGTGAGAGTTATTTTTGTTTTAATTCACACCCCATGACAAAAACAAGAGCATAAGGGGCTGATCATGTGGAACTGATAAACACGTGATAGTGCAGTAAAATACAACCCATAAATAATTCTTATAAGATTTTATTTCTGCAACTAGATATGATTGCATCAAATGCTGTGCACTGAGGCCTGAAATACAGCAGAGTGAGTGAGTGAGTGAGTGAGTGAGTGACTGAGTGAGTGAGTGACTGAGAGAGTGACTAAGTGACTAAGTGAGTGAGTGAGTGAGTGAGTGACTAAGT